CTTGATGTTCCTCTAAGTCTTGGTCTATCTATAAGAGAACCTTGATGGTCTTCCATTATTCCGAGAGGAGGGGATGATGTGAAATCCAAGTGTATGGCTACTATGCCATATACTAATATTAGTATAGTGGAATTTTGGTAGCTGTCAGATTGATTTTAATTTGGACCACTCGCTCTGTATATAAGCTAGGGTTTTTGGGTTAATTCATATGCACATTTTTTGTATTCCCTTTTCATATTCTATGCACTCACAATATTATAAATTAATAATCCAAAAAAACTACCTTGTATTTTCTTATTTAATTAAAATAATGATTGTGTGGATATTTATTATTAATAATTTGATCGTATACACAATTATCATGCAAAGTAGTAAGTTTTTAATAGTTTTCTGCACTGTATAGCAATGCTTTGGTTCTTTTTACATAAAGGAATATGTAAAGTAATTCTTTTGTGCAAATAGACCAAAAATTTAGAGCAGATATGCATTGCTCCTCAAAGCTTTACTTTTCATCTTGGATATTTACTTCCACAAATTTATGAGTAAACAAAACATTACATAAGCACAATGCCTACTGCAAAAATTTAAGGGCGATGACACTATTATACATAGTGAGTACTTGCACAGCAAATGCTGGGTGGTTTACAAAGAGGTGGACACAAGGAGAGTCTTCGACTAGATAAAGAGGCACAATGTTGTCTTGTGGACAACGCTGATGCTTGGATACGTCCAGGCAGAGCAAGCACCAGCTGCACTGGATCTCTTCTCGCAGATGCAACAAGTCCAAGGCCTGGTACCCAACACTCCAACTTGTGCTACCGTGCAGAAGCTCCATGGGCCTGCAAGAGCTCCACAGCTCTCGAGACTAGAAGGGCCATCCACCAGCAAATCTGTCACACCGAGATGAAAGCCAAGGTGGTTGTCGTGAATTCTCTGCTGGGCTTCTACGGATGGTGTGACTGCATGGAAGAATCTCGCAAAGTTTTTGACTCGAAGGCCAGCACAAGATGCAATGCCGTGACTTGGAACACAATCATCGCCAGCTACTACCACCAGGGAGACGTAGCCTCGGCTCTCAGGATCTTCGAGAGGATGGAGGATCATTGGTAGCATACTTTAGCTTCCCCTCCTTTGACAGCTCAAAGTACTCCCTCGATGCCTTCAAGTCACACACACCTTCAGGTCTTTGCATCACCCACACCTGCTACCATGGTGCCAGTCAGCTCCAAGATTTGAGCATAGCCCAACTCTTCATTTCTGGCACACTCTCCCACTAGCCCTACCTGTGGTGTTGCTCACGCACTGCACCCAAGCAAGTTGATCCAGAAAGGAGTCTAGATTGTATGCCTGACTACCATTCTACTTGCCCCTATTATCCTCATGAGCACCTCCTCTAGGAGCTTACAGGTGCATAAACTCTCATAGGAATGCCCACACAACCACGTCCAAGAAAAGCAACCATGGAGCCTTAGGAGTGCATGGTGTAACCATGCCCTCTTCCCTTCCTGACCACACATGCATCCCACTCATTGGCTGCCACAACATTGAGTCAATATTCCCACTAACCATAACCACTAGCCCTGGCCCGGGCCTAAGGTGGCCTCCCCTTCCTAAGAACCATGGCTTTCGAGGCTGCCTCGAGCCCAGGATCGGACGGCTGTGGGGGTCTAGGCCCTTCATTCTTACTATTATAGATTCTTCCGGCAGATTAAAGAATATCCCAGAATAGTCCTAAACCGGATATTCATCCATGTGGCATTTGACGGCACTGTCAATGATTCAAATATCTGGCAGTTTTTCTTATATTAGCGCTTGCCTGGATCCAAGGCAACCTTAGAAGAACAGGAGCTTGTTTTCTTCCATGGTGCCATGCTAGCTTTGTCTTGAGAAAAGAGAAGGAAAATGTTGCTAGAGAAATTAGGCACAAAATGATGAGGAAATTCCTTCATGTTTTACCCTGAAAGTGACTCGGATTTTATAGATAGTGACCACTAACTAATGCTGTAAAATTTTCAAATTTTTCAAAATCATACCAGCTCAATTTCTGTTGGTTTAATTCCATTTTGTATCAACGACGGCCTAGCCATTCTCTCAATATCTAGGTCAGGGCTATCATTGGAGAGTCGCAATTCTTGTTTGATCGATCGTGCAGCCAAATTTGTGTGCACAATTCTCACAATTCTCTCTCTCTCTCTCTCTCTCTCTATATGGGATGCTTAATCACCAAATAGATTGCAAGGATGAGCTCCAGCCCTAGGCTTTCGATCTTGTAGTTTCAGCATTCTCCATCCACTGCTGCCATAGCAAAGAGAGAGAAGAAGAATAGGAGAAAGAAGAGGAAGAAGTTGGACCAAGTATGGCTGCATTTCATTCTTGCCTTGCCACAAACTCCATATAGAGATCAAGATGATGCTTTTCCCATGGATTTTACAGGGTGAACCATGGCTAGGAGGGAGTGATGCTTCACCTCCAAATGCACAAGAGGATGCTTCACTGCTAGACAAGAGGACATAGTGATGCTTCACCTCCAAATGCACAAGAGGATGCTTCATTGCTAGACAAGAGGACACAGCTGGATGCTTTTAGCAGTGACAAGGTGCTAAATTTCTTTTGTATAATCTTACATATGGTGATTGTTATGGATTGACTATATGCTGGAGTATTTCATCCAGCAAGAGCCTATCAAAGTGCTACTTGATGATCCTCATCGAAAGTCATTTACTACCACACAAGTAGTACTATAGTGTCCAGATACGCTCCTAGAGTGTGGCACACCAAGGGAGTTTGCCATGTAAAATATTTCAGTTTTATTTTGCCATAATGAATGCTTTTGTAGATTTGTAATGCTTTCCAACATGCATGAGAAATGGAGGAAGTACCTACATGATCAGTAGCTCTGGAAATAGACAATCAAAGTCCATAAACAACATATTAAGGAGATGCCTAAAAATTAGCAAGTCAAGTTCTTAGACCGTAAGCATTATTAGTCAAAACCTAGTGTCATTCATTTTGCATGTGATCATATGCTTACTCTGTGGAGGGGAAATCCATAAACACCAAAACGAGTGAGCACGGAGAAACCATTGCTGCCTAGGGACTTGATCCTCCTTATGCTCCAGTGTTAATTACCATCATGGCCATCTGAAGGTTCATCCTCCTTGGCATAGGCTTCTTTGACAATGTTATCGTTGCTCTCCACCACACCACCACTTACTCTTTGCTTTCCACCAAGTCCTCTATTATATTTTGTCTCTCTTGATTGATATAAGGGTTTCCACCCCTCCCAAGTTTTAGGATTATTTCTAATCCCTCACTAATTAATTATACTTAGTCTAAAACAAAGGGAAGCCCATGATCTTGACTTTATCTCGGTCACGAGCACACTCTAGCCCTTTAACACACTCTCTATATAGAAGTCAATCATAATCTCTCGCACCTAATCTTCACATAGAGGAAGCAACAAATCAACCTATGGGAGTAGCCAATTTAATGACATTGAAGACTGCAATAGCTTTTTTGGGTGAGTGTCCTCAAATGTCTATGAAACCCATTCGGATTTATATCCTGGCAATGTAGAATAGTCATAGTTGCAGCTAGATATGCAAACGTTCCAAAGTGTCGACGTTTAAATACCGTTTAAAACGTTTTTTTCAGGACAATCCAATGTTTATATGTTAAAGCCTAAAATGATTAAGAAAACACTAATATTTACTAAAGAAACTTTAATCTGATATTAAGTTTATAAAACCTAACCGAATAACATTCTAAAACAAATGAAAGAAGAAGTCGTTTTAGTCGTCTTCTGATTCCGAATCATCTTCCATTCCTTCATCGATGCTAAACTCCTCAGCAGCCTAATTTGGTTCCTCAAAAGCTTCTTGCAGATCCAAAATCCTCTTCTAATGAGGCTCTAACTCTAGCTTGTTTATATCAATCTCCAGCATCCTCAAACCTTCACTCTCTAGCTTCTGAGCAACCCGCAAGTTTGTGCAAATGTAAACCAACTTCTCAGCATTTTTGGGAAGCAAGCGGGACTTGCACTTTGTTTGTATCAAGCTCCATGAGCTTCAATTCTTCTCGCATGGAGAAGCGCAAACAACCTAGCTTAAAATCCAGAGAGCCATGCGACATAGATCAGGCATCTCTAAACCAAAAGAACTCCACCAGGTTACTAGAAACTTTCTGGTCTCCCGATCCTTGGCAACAAGTAACCTCATTTGCTGTCCAAGCTGTTGCCGAAAACTCTCAAATTGTGCCTGCAATCTCAACTGCAAGTCCAGATCACCTCCATTATAAACATGCATATACTCCAACCAGTTCCCGCATGCCTCATTGTCCAGCTTGTCATTCTCTAGGTTATCCCCCAGAAACAAAGGATGAAGAGCAAAAGCAGCTCCATGAATGATATTGTGCATTTTATACCACCTTGCCTCCTTCAGATTGTGTGATTCAAGTAGGAAATCCTTGATTTGACCCACTTCCTCATGTGCATAAATTCCGTTTCGAGCTCCCTCATCCATCTTCTCGATCAGCCAATCAACAGCTTCAAAGATGAGGCCTGAAGTTGCCCCCTCCCGATCAGCAAGCCGAAGAACTCGAAGTAAAGGTCCAAGCAAAATTAACAAATTCTCGCACTGCTCCCAGAACGAGTCATTGAGAACATGAGATCGCAGCTCCAAGCCCTTTGGCTTCTTAGACCAGTCAAGTCACTCCCATTCTTGGCTCACCACCATTCTTCGAAGCCCAGAGAGATTCGTGGTCTCCAAAAGTTGAGACATCACGAGAAAAATATAAGCAAACCTCGTGGTCACAGGCTTTATCAAGTCCCGTTTGCAGAAAGTTCTATAAAGAGCTAGAACCCATGGCTTTGAGGTGATGAAGGTAACTGTCTTCACACAACCATCGACAAAAGGCTGCACCCAAGACAGAGCTCCAATATCTCCAAACAGCAAGTCCATAACGTGGCAAACGCAGCGAATGTGTACAATCTGTGGAAACTTCTACTGCAAAAGCTCCCCCATGACCACACAGTTGCTTGCATTGTCCGTCACCACCTGCACAATGTTTTCCACACCAACCTTGGCAATCACTTGTTTCAGCTGCTCAAACAACCATGCTCCCGTTTTCTTCGTGTTCTTGCTGTCCACAGCCTTCAGGAAAATTGAGCCTCTCACAGAACTGACCATGAAGTTGATAAGAGACCACTTCTTGATATCAGACCAGCCATCTGTGAAAATGGTACAACCATATGTCCTCCAACTTAGCCGCACATCTTCAAGCTTTTTTTGAACATTGTTGTAGATTCGCTGTAGCTCAGTTGTCCGCAACTTCTCATATCCCATGAGGTTGTCAATCGCTAGATGCCCCACTTTTGCGGCAAATTTCAGCATTCTCTTCAAGTTGTCTCTTTGGATTGTGTTGAAGGAGATGTTCTCGGCAAAGAAGAACTCTGCAACAGCATCATCCAGTGCCTAAGCCAAAGCAGTATCAAAAAATGTCACCAAATTTCCATCTAAGGATCTGCGTTTCGCTGCTCTACTTGTCCCAGCACTGGACCAGTTCTCTGTGCTTGCCACCATAGATTCTGCTGGCCCCCCTAAACCCTGTGTGGCTTGCTGCAGCAGATGCCTATCATCGGCATCTGCTGGGTCTGCTAGCTCGAAATCAAAAAAACTGCTGCGAGCTTTTTTAAGAACCTCATGAAGGATCTCCCTCATTGCCTTGCATGTTTTCACACCTCTTGCCCGAAGTCCAGCAAGATGTGCTCGCACTCGGTCTGCTCCCCCAGTGTGAATCTCATGACAATACTTATATGTCCAATGCCACTCTACTCGTATCACATGCTTCCAGCTCCAACATTCACGGTGTCCTCCAATTCCTGTCATGACCCTGAAGAAACCCTAAAGAAACCTTTGTCTCTTTTCGCAAATAGTGCAAACGCATTAGGAGTTTAGAATGGCATTTTTGAACGCGTTTAAAATGTTACGTTTTTTAAGTTTCACACGTTTTCTAGCAACTATTCAATCTGAATAGTTCTGATTGTAGCATCTGGAAGGAAGTAATTGCAAACAGTAACTTTTCTTTTTGGACTTTTTCTGTGAAGTGCAATCTTACATAGTTCTTTCAGGAAGAGAGCATAGTTGATATCCTCCAACTTGAGCTTATAAGGAAAACCTTTACGTGCGGCTGCATAAGTATGCACACACCTTGTTAGATAACTCATTCCATATCTCTCACTTATTTGTCCATTTTTCCATCCTTCAAGCAAACACTTCTCACATTCAACACATGGATGACAATGTATGTGGATACCTGGAACCCAAACTAACACTTCATTTATGAATGCAATATACTACAACTCTTCCAAACAAGATTCTAAGGAGATTTGTAGTGCATTCTATCTCTTTCCCCTTAAGCCAATTAGAAAAGGGGCAATTGCTTGATAAGAGAGCCTTTAGTGGCTATTTTATCCCCATTTATCCCCCAAGAATCCAAGGATCCATGATAATAATATATCCAAATCTCATCCCATGATCATATGCATTACATTCACCCCCCCACATTACATATCTTGCTTAAGGGTATATTATATTTTTAAGTAGCCACTAATCAATAGAAATTGAATCAGTGCCATTTGCTTTGATACTACATATAGCACACCCTATCTCTCTCCCCGTAAGCTAATTGAAAAAGGGGCACTTGCTTAATAAGAGAACCCTTAGTGGTTATTTTATCCCTATTTATCCCCCAAGATTCCAAAGATCCACAATGACAGTATATTCAAATCTCATCCCATGATCACATGCACTATAAGATTGAACAATATTTTTTGGGAAATTTTGCAGCACCTCTAAGTTAAATAGTCTCTGTCTAAATGGATATGCCTATCATGGTGTTTAGAATGATGGTTGAGAATCAGACCAATAGCAAATTGGTCCATGAAAGGATTTTTATTATAGTTTGTGGAAGGAAATTTAAGTTGGACCTTTAATTATATATTATTATATTATAGAAAGCTGTATTTTAAAAAAATCTGCTGAGTGCATAGAATATAGAAAGGGAATACAGAAAATGTGCATATCATTTACCCCAAAAACCCTAGCTTATATACAAGAGCGAGTAGTCGAAATTGAAACCAAACTAACGGCTACTAAAATCTCACTATGTTAATATTAGTATACAGCATCATAACTGTACACTTGGACCTCATATGATCCCCTCCTCTTGGAATAATGGAAAATTGTCAAGGTTCTCTTATTGATGTGCTAGGATCTGGAAGAATATGTAAACAACTAAATTTTCCATTCTACTTTAGTCACTTAACCTCACCTCTGACCACTTGGAGGAGTCTTATTCACAACCTCCATAAGTCCCATTCAGGACTTGGGGCTTGCTAACCCCGAGAATGGCATCCATGCCACTCAACCTTTGCACTTGATCCAAGTGCTCCACATGTCCGATCCCATGACCGACACCCTAAAGTACCACCGACCTCTCAGCCTGTTACGCTAAGGCCATGCCTATTTACCTTGGTCAAACCACATGTTGTAAAATTGGGAAAACAAACTAACACCAAGTCATTTGCTTTGTGCTCTACAAATGTATGATGATGGGAGTTGTAACGCTATTATTGTCCCACTTGTACATGGCCTAGGTGTTCAGTAAACTTTGTTGAGACAAGTGGAAGAATGTTTGTCAAATACTAATCCCATGATCTAGCATTTGCAATTCGTAGCAATCATAAAGGTAAACCCAACTCTATTGACAATATTGGATCATGACCATATAAGAGTTTGTATGGTGAAGCACTAACTCTTTCCTATAGTGAAGGAAAGAACAAAAAAAAAAGAAATGAAAAAAGCTAGAAGGAAAGAGAAATCTAGACAATAAATTTAAATCAAAATCCCAAAAGGAAATAACAAAGAAAAGGAAATGGAAAAAGTTAAATCTAGACAATGCAAAAGTTAGATCTAAACCAAAATCCCAAATCAAGAACAATCAAAGATGCCCTTCACTTCCACCAATATTAATGCATGGAATATGGAAAGGGAATATAAAAAATGTGCATATCAATTAATCCATACAAGAATGAGTGGTCCAAATTAAAACCAATCCACGGCTACCAAAATCCCACTACATTAATATTAATATACAATATCATAACTGTACACTTTGACATCACATTGTGTGCTTTAATCTTATGTATTAATCTAATTAATCACTTGAAAGCTTATAACTTTAAACAAATCTTATTGAATATCAACCATTAGATGGTAGAATAGACTAGAATATACTAGAAGTGTTTAAAAAAGCTTATGTTTATAAAATATAAAGACAAGATTAATCTAAATGAAAAATAACCATTATATGGTAGAATATCCAAAAATATCCTAAATATATTCATTACTTTACAAGAAAACCAAAAAACAATCCCTCACTCGATCAAACAGTGCATAGCATGTTTATTTTCTAATTTGCCAGCCCAAAGTTTCACATGGTAAGGTGTATCCTCTCCCTATTACCTTATTAAATTACTTAATATTTTATGCTTTAAAAGATATAACCATTTAACAATACATGTTCCATACAATGCTTGGTTTTATTTATTCTTTTATAAAATATTTTCAACCGTTAGACTCAGGAATATCCAACTCTAAGAATATTCACTTGCAGTTCCTTTTATCCTCCAAGAGACAAAAAAAAACCGGAGCCTCACTGAAAAAGCAATGCAGCAAAATTAGGCCTTCATTGCACCTAACCTCATAGTCGACCGAGTGCGTAGAGCAGCACAGCTTACTGGCGTTTGATCCTTCGTATTAAACCTTGACCTTGTGCGTTTTGTCGCTCCTGAAAGCACTGTGAATGTCCCCCTTCAATCTCAACACTGGAAGAGCAGTACCTGAATCGTTCGCTTTCCTCCGTTTTTTCTTGAAAATCTCAGGGTAACTTCCAGGCTGCAGAACATGTCGTTAAAAAAGCCAATAAAACTGTGGCATATGGCCATCAGTTTCTCGAAAACTGTACTCAGAACTTCTGCTCACAACAGAGGGCCTGTGATCGCTGCATTAACACTGTTATGAAAAAAAGGTAAAGTTACCTACGGTGGTGTGCATCCCTCTTTTTCTTGGAAACCTGCCTCACGCTGCTGGGACCTTCCATGACACTAAAGCACAAATGACAATGTCAAGGTGGCGATAGAACTGATGATGTATAGAGTACCTCTGAACCAAAGCCTCGTACACCTCCTTTGGAGTTGGGGAGACATTGTCGATAAGTATATGAGCTTGGCACACCCTTTCCCTGGCCACGGGCTCCCCCAACAGGGTGCTCTTGAGGTCAAAGTCACACATTCTTGCAAAAGCCGCATTCGACTTTGAGCTGAGACAGAAAGTGCAAGATCGTCAGATCAAGGAGATGGGCGACTGGCATAGTAAACATAGTTCCATTAGGAATGATGCGAAGCACGCGCAGCTCTTCTTCAGAAAGGTCCTCTTGAAATTCAGGAGGGACTGTGTCCGGTAATCTTCCGGATTCAGCAGTTTGACCTCCCTGCCCCTGGACACAAGTAAGCGAATTTACAAAGATAAGAAAGAGAAACGGGAGACTGTACGCTGTTGAATATAGCACTGCCCGCAGTTAAAAACCCCTGAACGACTTGTCTATGGGAGAAGGATTGCGAAGCATGTACCTGTAAGCAAGGAAAGCAAGACGAAGAAGGTAAGGATACAAGCAGAAAACTGAGTAGCTATACCAGAGTAGCTGGCTGCTGTCATGGAGCTTTTGTTTCTCAGTCACCGAAGCCTTTGCTGCTGCTTTGAGTTCAGCATCTGTAACATACACAGAAGATAATGATAAACCAAAGCACGCCATACTTACAATTGAAGGAGCAGCCATAGAAAATATTCGCGTCTGCTTCTAGCAACATGAGCCGAGCATGCGCGACCGCGTCTTCAACTTTCTCCCGGTGTGTTAGGACGTCTGGAACAAGGCAAGGCACTAGCAAGTCCTCGATAAACGGTTCGGACTTGATGCTGCAGAGCAGCAGCTCCAGCTCTTGGTGGGTAGCTTGGTGATGACTGCCGTTCAACAATTTTAACTATATCATCCGAGAGGGCCTCGTAAACGGGTTGAGCTCGTTCACCAAACCTTTCACTTGAAAGATCCATCTACATAAACTGGTAAGAGACACAAAACAGAAACAAAAGGAGGAAGGAAACACTCACCATTTTGCGCTGAGCAAAGCGATCAGACAGCAAAGCATCGCTGACAGCCATCCTTTGAGTCGCATCTTCTACAGAAACATGAATCAATTCAGCTCCACGATAAAACCACACAAACCTGTTACCTGAGTCCAGAAAACGTCGAGCGAGTTGAGGGCTGCATGGGTCCTGGAGAATCTGGCGAGCAGTCTGGAAAACCTCGTCGGAGATGAAATCTTGGAACAGATCCCAGTGCTGGTGGATGTAGAGCAAACCCAGCAAATGGGTCAAGTCTGGATCCTGAGCCACTGCATTGTACCTCGTGTTAACATATTGTTCCACCAGCCTCTTCTCCTTGGCAAACCTCCTGAGCTTGTCATACTGACGCTCTACCTTGCTCAATTCCTTGATACCCTTCCGAAATATCCGATAACGCCGCCCGAGGTTTTCCATTGTCACAAACCCTAGAAAGAAAGGTGGCGACCTTCACCATTTTTTCTTTACATAAACCCTAAGCCCCGGGACGAGGTGCATCAAACTTTTGGAGCATTCACAAGGCAACGATCGATGGCACTGTTCTTGGAGATGTGGTGATTGTTGTCTCGGACAAGCAAGGTTCTTGGTTTTTTTCCATTGCTAGAATCCATAGCAATCCAGCTAGAGTTTAGTTATTCCCATTCCTTTGTCCTGGATTTAGATTGGCTCGAGAGCACGGGATTTCGCTGGCATATTTTCCAAGAGCAAAGTTTGCTCCTCATGGAGTCTCTCCAAACGAGCTCGTGGGAATTCTCAGGTTCGTTTCATGCTTTTCTTTTGCTAGAAGTGTTTATCTGTGATCGATCTTTCGCAGGCATCAAAAAGTGGATTCCGTGCTGCTGGCCGGCTACTTAAAAGTTTATATCCAGAGAACTCGTGGAATTTGGAGGCAAAGGTTTCTATGGAATCAAAGTCCACGAGGCTGTCATTGCTTCCGGCGCTCGGTAACTTCTAGCTTTCATCGTTCTCTTGCCGCGAGATCTCTAAAATCTTGCAGCTTTTAACAGTGTCTCTGGCCCAACGATCCATTTCGAAGTATGATCACGGGAGTATTCTTGCGCAACGAACAGTTCCTGTTCTAGAGACGGTCACGCCGCAAGACTTGGCAGCCGGAGTGTTGGAACAAGTACGTGGTTTGATCGCTCTTTAGTTCGATTGGTTTTTGGATGGGATTTGCTACCAACAGGAGCACCCGCTGTATGTGGATGCCGCTGCGAAGAAAGGATTGAATGGAGTGGCGATGGAGTGCCTCGCATGCTCGAAAAAGAACTAGCATGTATTTCGATCTTTCTATATGTTATCCAACCATTTTTCATAACAAACATATTCATCTGCGGGCCAAATAGGAATTCGTGAAAGTTTCCCTCGCGACTACAGAAGAGCTCTCAACGAGGAGAAGGCCAAGAAAAGAGCGGCAGAGGAGGAGGAAGCGCGACTGGCCGCTGTGGATGCTTTCCAGGAACTGAAGAAAATGGCTGAAACGGAGGAGCAAGTAGAAAGATCTCCAGTGAGAACATTACCATCACTATTTAAATGGTGAAATAAAAAATTGGTGGTCAAAACCTGGCAGTGATGTTCACTGCAGAAGCTTTCCATCTTGCTAGGATTACTTTACATTACAAGATATTTGTGAATGTCATGAATTAAACTTGAATATTCATGTGCATATTCCTCTCAGGTGCATATTACTTGTTCAAGCATAGTTAGAAACGAAAACTATGGATTATGTATTTGAGATTTGTGTGCGTGCCTTGAGTGTCTTGAGTGTTGCGAGATGCATCTGCGAAGAGCATCAAGCCAAAGGGAAGGCGGGAGAGTGCAAGAGATTTGGCCATTTTTTGGATACTAAAGATATGTGAAGACTATGTACAAAAGGAGTGACTAAACATTTCATGATGTATCTTGACAATCTGATCGAATTCATAGCTTTGGAAAATTTGTAATGCTCGTTACTTTCTTCTCTCAAGAAAAATTGGCCATTGAATTTTATAAGCGCTAATGTTAATATTTTAACTGATTGCCCAAATCTAATTTACGAATATGCTGCGAATATGCCTTATAAGAGTCAGGGTCTAGGGCAGGGAGTCGGCTAGGGCAGTGATGAATTCGTGCTTTTCTTATGTCTGGACTTCTGAGAAGCTGTGATATTCTCTTTCGCGATTTCTGAGCTCGTTGGTTTCTCGCATCTCTACCAGCGCTGCTGTGCGTCAAGACAAATTGGGGGGAATTTCTTCTCCTCTCCGCTCTTGGCGTAGGGTTTTCAGCGGCGTTAAATCGTGATGCAAGACTCTTTTGCCGCAGATCTTACCGACCCATTTGATCTCTTGCCTCGCATCTGGTGTTTAATGATTCTGCGCCCATTTCTTTTTTTTCTTCCTTCCTTGGTGATGATCTTTCTACGCGACGGGCGATCTGAACTGATGCCGTGTTGAATGTCGCGTTTGTTTGAAACTCTGAAAGGTCGAGCCCCGAGAGAGCAGATGATGATCCAGCAAATTTTATTCTACACTCCGATTGGATCGTGAGGAAAGCTTTTTCACCTCTGACAAGCTGATGCTCTCCCCGGATTCTAAAAACCAAACTTTTGATAGATCACTGAATTGTAACTGTCACTAGGCCACGTCAAAGCGAAACCGAAAACCTCTTGCTATCCCAATGGCTGCTTCTTGTTCTTGGTCTGCCTGGAAGCCATAGCCACACGCATGAGACAATGCAAGGCAGGCCGCGGCAGCAAAGAGATCTTCTCTACTTTGGGACGCCACCAACGCCGATCGCTCCCTCGCCCTCGATCGAGAGCTCGTACAAGGGAGGATCCTGGCAGGGGATCATCCTGGTTTTGCTCCTGCTCATCGTAGTCTTAGGAATAATCGGATGGAACACTCACAAGAAGAAGCAGAGGTTGCAGCAGTACGACCGGTTCCAGAATCCGTTCTAGCATTTGCTTTGTCCTGGAGCTTCTCTTTTTCTTGTTGCACTGGACAGTAGCACAGAGTTTTGGGCTCCTTGCGAGAAAAGAAGAACACCACTTACTTGCCTGTCGAGAGAATGGGCTTATAGTTTTTGAATGATCGTGTTGATGATCCGGTGGAAGTAGGACATGCGCTGCACGGCTTCTTTCGCAGCGTCGAGATCGCTTCTCTTCATTGCTTCCGCGAAAGTTTTCTGGTACTCGAGCATTCTCGAGTATGCCTGTGATCCAGAAAATAAAAATGGATGTAAGCTTTAGAAAACCAACAATCTGACGTACTTTCTCTTTGAGTGCTTGGAGCTTGTTTGAGTCCGAGCAACTGCTGATAGTTTCTTGCATTTCCATCACCTATCCATCAAAAGCATCGGTGTTGAGAAGGAAAAAAAACATTTCTAGATGTGATTACCTCCATCAGGATTTCTGGATCGGTGACAGTCCCTTCCTCTTCAACGTCTACCCCGAAAGTTTCCAGCTAGAGAAGAAACGAAAAACAAAGGCTTAGATTCGAGCTCGTCGTTCCATGGCTTTCCACTCACCAGATAAGTAGCTCGAGACAAAGGCTTCAAGAGGACCTGATACGCATTAATCACTTGAGAGGATTGATCGGCAGAGTATTCTTGCTCTTTCTAGAATGACACCAGTGAAAGTATAAGGCATGGATCACCAAAAAGAATTTTTTCTTACCGAAGATTTCATGCTGTAGAGATCAGGATGAAGCTTCTTTTGCAGATTCTTGTACCGCTTCTCGAGCTCTCCTGTATCGAGCTCGAATTCCTTCTTCCTGGAAAAATCACGTCAGCTCCAACGATGGATGGCCAAAGAAAAGCTCTTACAAGTCGAAAATATCGAAGAAATTCACCGATCGATTCGCCGGCTGGATGATCTTGCACGCCGGGCACAGCATGAACACCTCCGCCTGCGCGGCCGCCCCACACGACCAGCATTGCCGCTGCTTACTCGTCCCAACCGAGGAGTAGCCGCGCCATAGCTCGAAAACTCTAGAACCGAAAGGCGCACCTCGATCGATCGAAATATCGCATGCCGGGGCGATCGCGCGCGTGGAGAACGAAGTGGAATCCCTCCATCGAGCGCCGCGCCTCCAGACCTGGCGGAGGATTCGTCGTCCCGCCATAGCCAATCTCAAACCGGTCACCGGTTCGACACCTCTCCCAAACACCTAGACGTCTACAAAAGGTATATAGTACGTGTCTTTGGAGCCCGTGGAGTTTGTTCGCCTGTCATGGTAGGGTTCTTCAGCTACTTCACTGGAAAGCGCGGCCCTAGCGGCTTTGGATCATCCTCCACCGCGGAGGATGTCGCGCAAGGGATTTCGCTGCATTCTCAGGTTGCGATCATCACTGGTAAGCGAAATATCGATCGCTTGGCGAGATTTCGAGGATTTTTTTTTCGTTTCTTGCAAGGATCGACGTCTGGGATTGGATTCGAGACCGCGCGGGTCCTGGCCAAGCACGGCGCTCATGTCGTTGTCCCGGCCAGGAAAGTCAAGGACTCGGAGGGAGTGCGATCGAGGATTCTCAAGGAGTTTCCAGATGCCACGGTGAGCGTTGGGGAGCTGGATTTGAGCTCGCTGGCCTCGGTGAGGAAGTTCGTGAGCGAATTCAAGGCTTTGGAACTCCCGCTCAACATGATCATGTAAGCGTTCCTGTGCTTCGTTTGGATTTTTCTCTTGGCAAGAATCTGGTCATTTTTAAAAATTTTTTTTGTGCTTTTGAAGAAACAATGCCGGGATCTCTAGTGGGAAGTTTGTTCTATCACCCGAGGGACTGGAGCTTGATTTTGCGACTAATCACATGGGTAAGATAGCTTTGCTCTCCTCCAAAATTGCAGCTCAACTTTGCTGGAGCTTCCAACAGGCCATTTCTTGCTCGTGGAACTTCTGCTGGACGATGTCATCAAAACTTCCAGTGAGACAGGCATCGAGGGCCGGATTGTCATCGTCTCCTCCGAGGCCCATAAGTTTGCTCCGAAACAAATAGTATATGAAAAGCTCAACGACAAAGACAGGTATGGAAAAAGTTCTTCTAAGATGACTCGTGTTTGATACTGTCCATGCAGCTTTTCCTGGACGGGAGCCTACGGTCGTTCCAAACTGGCAAATATATGGCATGCCAAGGAACTTGCACGGCGGCTTCAGGTAGCTTTTACTTTCTTTTTGACCAAACAAGTCACGGCTTTCCTATTTATTGGATTTCGGTGTTGACAGGAACGAAATGTGAATGTCACCGCGAACGCTCTCCATCCAGGCGCTATAGACACAAATCTGGGACGTGATTTCAACAAAATTCTTGTTTGTAAGAATCCTAGCTTGATTGATAGAGCTGAAGGCTTTGAGTTTTTGTATGCAGCTACTGTTTTTTTCCTCGGAAAGCCTTTTCTAAAAACTGTCCCTCAGGTTTGCACAAAATCCACTTTTGCTTTGCTAAACTTGTTTGTTTTCCGACCAGGGCGCTGCCACAACAGTTTACGCTGCGATCCACCCCTCGATGCGTGGAGTCACCGGGAAATACTTGTGTGATTGCAACGAAGCAGAGTGCAGTGCCACTGCCAATGATATGAAAATGGCTGCGGAGCTGTGGGAGTTTAGCGAGAAGTTTGTAGCATCCCATCCATGACAAGGTAATCAATCCTACACATATATCTGTCTTACAACACTACATATTTGGTGATTTAAGTTCTCAGGATTCGCAGTTGCCACTGTGATCCTTGGAAGAACATCGTCCATGTAATGAAAAGAAGGCAAAGTTTCTTTTTCCCGGTAAGATGGCAAAATCTACATATGTTCACATTTATTTTTCACTCCACTACGTACTTGGCGAATAAGTTCTCAGGATTAGTCATGGCTTTAAACTCGACGGAGTTGCCGCTGTGATCCTTAAAGAACATCGTCCACTGCAGAGAGATCGAAATGGTAAATACTCCAAGAACAGGCACAAAGATTTGTAAGAACCTGTTCTCCCGGTTGATCAGTGAAGCGAAGGTGTGGCTCGATGATAAACTTCACGCCAGCAGCAGTGACACGCTCAGCGAGCTTCAAGAAATCCGGGACCGAAAGAGCCAATCCAAAGTGTGGGACTGGAACTGGATCTCCATCTTCCAGAAAAGAAGAAAGCAAAAAAATGGATCAGTCCAGTTCTTGCAAAACCGATATCTTGGATCTTTAGTTACCAACGGCGTTTGCAGTGCTCGCGGCATTGTATCCTTCCACAAAATGGCACACCAGCTAGGCAAAATCGGGCAGAATTTGAGTGTTTCGAGGGAGAAACTTAAAATCACTCACTTGATGGCCAAAGAGATTGAAATCCACCCAGGTCCTCGCCGATCGGCCCTCGGGACATCCCAAGATCCTACACAAGATCAAAAAGAGGATTTGTATGCCGATGCTTACCCCCCGTAAAATTCCCGAGCTGCTGTTAGATCGTGAGTGGGAATCGCTAAATGGAACGGACACAGTGCCATTTTGCGAATATTAGGGTATTCTGTGCGAACAATCTACATTTACAGTGAAACAAGATTTCCTATCATAGGTGATATTGCCACCACGGTTGATATCTTCGCCACATAGATGTTTTAGGCAGACACACCTTTAAAGACATGATACCTAAATCTGGAGGAGAGCTTTCCAGGCACAACATGCAAGTACTTCAAGCCTGCTCTTTAGTGTGAGAGTGGAGTGGCGTTTTTGTATAGCTAGATCAGAGTTTTTGTTCCATGAGAGTTGAGGGTACATTTTTGGCTGCTGATAAAGCCATTTCATGGGCCTACCAGCAAAATTCCAAAACACCAGCTCATTCCAATTTCTGCTTTGGCTTTTCAATGAATCATCAAGTATAATCATCCTTTATATATGAAGTGTTTATGTAGGCTTTAGTTCTCATTAGTAAAGAGCTCGTCCATTTCCTAATTTGTCTTTATTGGCTTCTTGGTTTTCTCAGTGCAATTTATATTCATTTGGAACTGAGCCAAGAAATAAAGCAATTCTATTTTACAGATTTATATTTATATTATTTGCCCATACAGACATTTCAGGATGACCAACTCTATATAAAACTAAAGTATGATCTTCCTGTATTATAAAGATAGAATCACCTAGACAATTTGGTAAAGGGATACAATACGTTTTTGAAGACCATCTAGCCTTTTGATTAAAAGCACCATATAAAACCAAATTTCCATCTAATTGCATTCTTAATTTACAATCAAAATCTAGACCATTTGTTTTTGTATCCCATACTGGAAAATTTGCAGAAGTATAATATACAAGATTACAATCTTTTTGCATAATTAAATAATAACCATTAGCTTCATTATATAAAATTTGATTGACTTTTAAGTTTGATATCTGTTCACTTTCAAGACCACTTAGCATAACAAATTTATTAGGGGTTTGAAACTTAGCAATATTCATGCTTAAATTAGTAAATATTATACTTGATAGATCATTCAAAGATTGTTGTATCCTTCTACAACGAAATATAAATGTTCCATAAAGAGAAGCAATATTTATAGTTAAATATTGAGGACATTCTGAAAGCTCATTTAAAACTGTGTAAATTGCATTAGATATTGTATCTCTGATTTGATCATTAAAAACATAAGAAACTCCAAACCTATCAATATGGCGTAATGGTCCAACAGTAAGAATATGTATTGTTGCATCAAACATTACGTTTCGAATATCTATTGTATTTGGGAAACTATTTAAAGGTAAGGTGAAACCACCAGTAGGAAAATTATTTCTCATTAAGAATCTTAGTGTGCTAAACATATCTGTAAAATAGCTCCTACGTATTCTTCTTCCACCATATTCATAATTAATTATAGTTGATTGCATATATATAGATTCCCATATTAATACAAATACTATACTCAAAAGAAATAATTTTGCCATTTTGAGTAACACCACATGTCTTGATATTTATAATGTTACATGAGGACAAGCATAACTAAACTCCGAATGCAATAAATACAAATAGCAACGATAAGATTGCCGGTGTGTTTGACGCCTGGGGACAGACAAGACCACCCAACAACGAACTTTGATTGCCTTATTTGGATAACCTAAACTATTCCTTCACGTATAATACAAAAAAATATAGGCAGTCCCAGGGTGTCATGCTTCTTGGGACTATGTAAAGATGCGCAACAAAGCTGCTATTGCTGGCCTTGATTGCTAAAGCTGGAAACTTCAATCCTAAGTGGTTTATTGATATAGACATTATTAATAAAGGTCTTACCCCTGTCTGCCAATTCCTAAGTTCTCTCCTGGGAACCGGCAACTTTGTCCAGTGGAAACACCTTGTTCTCAAACTGCGAAGAAAAAGGAGATCATTTACACACAACTGGCGTGGGAGAAAGGAAATCTCACCTCGAATACCACTGTCAGGAGTTTCAAGAACTGGACATTCTCAGTGATTGAAGATGCAGTAATAGACACCTTTAAAGCTCTAGCTGAAAATGATAAACCCCTTTAGTGCTTTCAGCTTATGTGTGACCTGGTGCCCATGCTGCGATCGAAGTGGACTGTGAACAAACCAGAGATCATGGACGACGACCACTCTACCTTGTCCCAAAGCTTTCCAGAACCAAGGGAGGCACACTAGTCTCGAGCACCTCGTGAGACACTCGCGCATACTTCGCAAAGTCTAGTATCCATGCAACAGTGTTCGCAACCTGTGTGAACTTCTTGTGTAAATCTTGCTACTTCAGCTTGAATAGAATGCGAGCCTACCTCCCACTGCGGTGCTGTTGATGATTCCGAGCTCTTCCCGATGTGCGCTTGTGCAAATTGTGCCAGGTACTGCAACATGAGCCGGTAAGAATTAAGTAAGAAGTAGTGTGGAGTTCTTGCCTGTATGTACAAGATTGAATGGGAGGGGTGAAACTGATGGAGCAGTGTAGCGAAGCCAGCCACCTGGAAAAATAAGCAATGGAAGTTCGAGTTTGTTCTTCAAAGTTTTCTAGTCATTACCAGAGGGCAGCAATCCAGCGCGGTCTTTTTGGCTTTGCTCACGAGTGTTCCCAAGTGCTTGTCAAGCACAAAGCGTGTAAGCTGCGAGCACAAAAGGCCTGAGCATGGAGTAAGCGAAAGGATTCGGACCTGAGTGATGGTGATGAGGAACAAGAAGAGGCTAATGTGAGCAGGGGCTTTCGCTGTGATGTAGGTAGTTTTCATTGGCGAAAACATGCCGCATGCTTGGAGCTGCCTCGCTAGCTCCTTCAAAACTCCGTTGCTTTTCTCATTTGTACGCTGCGAAGAAAAGTGTTTGGTGAATCGAAAAGGTATAGATAAGACGATCACCTCGCTATCAGTTTCCATGGTAGAAAATAGAGCAGTACCGAGACCTTCCAACGCGAAAAAGACCATGCCCGACTCCAACTGTACCAAAACCATCAGATACAAAAGTAAAAAATAAAAATGCCAGAGACCTGAGATGCTGCACGTAATTGCGATGAAAGAAGGCATCGAATGAGTTGTAGCTGTCCAATGTGCGCTAATGACTCCACCCATGTTACGCACTCGGAGCTTGTTGATATCAACGCAATACACTGCAACTCATTCGTAGTTAATGGGAAAAATCAGCCAGCCATCAGTGATAAACATCTGCCAGCCATCTGGTTTACCTCAGCGTATACAGCTCCATTGGGGGTAACAGAAAGTGGTCTAACCGCACCTTCCAACGCCTGTAAGTGGTCTAGCAGCTTGACTTCAATCTGTAAGGCTCCAAAGGCTCTCTTTTTCCTCTGAAAATATGGAGCAAACCTCGGAGCGGAAACTAAAGATACACTTCCCGAGCACTCTCGCAGCATGAGAAGAAACGATCGAATCAATACCAGATACTCCGACAGGTCCGAGACTGTTGCAGGGAGCTATACAGTATATCCGATTGTTTTTGTTTTCTAGAAAAAGTACCTTTCTTGCAAGGTGATGAAGGTTCTCAAACCCACAAGCTCTTGGCCTTCCGCATTGAACCTGATTACAAGGCACGATCAAGAAGAAGTCACGAACTTTACTTTAAAGCACTTGGAAAAGTTACCAGCCAGTCATTGGGGCGAGGTACATAGATTTCGAAGGATTTGTAAGGTTGAGCAGTTTTAGCACAACTCGATCTGAAAGAGAAGGAGAAGAAAGGTAAACGCACAAACATAGGTGAGAATACTCACTCATAAAATTATCATCGTTGACGCTTCCTGAATCAAGTATGGACGTCGGCTGCTTGTGAACTTTGGTCAGAAAGTGTTTACATCCCTGTTGAATATTTTAGCTTTCGGTTTAAAAAACATAAAACACAGTACCAGTTCAGTATTATGATTTACTATGTTTGTATATTCTTCTTGCCAAAGCTTTAGGCCGTGAACGTGAACGTAATCCTGCAATACTGGTGTTCATAGCAACCAAAAGAGCACTGAGAAAATACCTGAAAATATTCCATTGACTGGCGTTGCGAGGATAATGAGGCGGATAATGCTTCTAGTTTGTCTTCAAGATCGTCAGTTTGACCTGCAAAATAGCAAGTGATGGACAGGCTTTTTCATTTTCTACGAAAAAAACCTGTAGAAAAGACCAATGTTTTTTTCAAAGCCAAGTCGATCTCCTCTGCTAGTTTTCTACGTATTCCTTCTTCAAGAAGTTGCCTTGGATCCTGCAATGCGGAAAGCCATCGGAAAACAATTTGGATAGACAATCAAAGTGGTTACCAGCTCAATCGCGCCAATGAAAGTTCTTTTCATTGACATTATTCCCTATAATCAACATATGTTACTAGACAGCGAGAGACCTCAAATGTACCTGCGTAAATACAGCAACTCTTTGAGTTGCCTTTGCCAACGCGTAACGCTCATCCAGCTGCGACTCTCGTTTATCAGCAAAATGAGAAAAACAGAAAAGAAACAAGACATCTTAACCTTCGCGTAGTCTTTCAAGGAATCTTTCTCAAACCGCCCTGGTATCTCGCTTAAGTTCATCATTTGCTCCTTGATTACCCCGTTGAGAATCGTAAACATGCTGGCCTGAGAATATATGTAAAGAGTGGATTACGGACATAGTGGTATGCACAAACTTACAGGGACAATTTCCAAAACATTTCGCACGTAGTTTATAAGCTCAGATGAGTAGTATTCTGAGACAGAGTCGAGGTCCGCACTGCAAAAGCAGTAGTGTTATGTGTAGAGTTAACAAATTCTTTGTAGGTACCTTTGGCTCTGATATAGCCTCAAGAGTGGTATATCCATAACAGAGCGCAGCTTGAGAAACAAACACTGTAATTTCGATACAGTGAATGGATCATTTTGGATTTGAGATTGAATAAGAAGAGTAAATTCTCCTATCAAGCCCCATGAGTAAGAGCAGTCGCTGATCTGTGCGCCAGTTTGATTTCACATAAAGAATTTTTTATAGAAGTTCTTACCACTGATATAGTAGCAAGGGTACTTTCTTGCACGTTGAGTGTCCTAATCATTTCTTGCAATTGCATTCGCGCCTCTGACAAGTATTGCTTAGTCTGAAGACTTCCTTGTATCTGATCAGAAACAAACGCCCGAGTCAAAGACATAAAAAGAAAAAAATCGAGATCAAACGTACTTGATGAAAATGTTCAACCTCTTCAAGCGCTGTAATTATGTGTTGAATTTTCCTACCTGCAGTTACTGCCTCGGAATAGTCTAAAGAATTAACCTGAGACATTCCATAAGTCCATATACTTATAAAAGTACGATATTGACCTCAGAACACATTTGAGAGAACCATTGTTGCAAGTTCTCATCTCTGATAGTCCTCGACAGAACCTGTATGTTATACATCACTATGAGAAATTTATGATAATATTAAGGCCGTACCTTAACCCCCGAAAAAAACGCAGAGAGGTCATTCATGCATTCAGCGACGATCGTCTTGGATTCAGCCCAACGGGATTCTTTCCTCTTCAAAAGTTCACCATAGACATTCTTAAGCTCGAACTCCAGCTAAAAGAACAGTCATTAAAAACAGAAAGTGGACAAAGCGCAAACATACCCTTGAAGTGTCCAGCAATAAAGTCAGCAAAGCCATATCTTGATTCGATACCAATTCTCGAAGTTTACGGCTGGTGGTCTGAAATTAAGCATCGCCAGCGTGAACATTTCACAAGGAAAAAAACGTACGATATTATGAAGCAGCAGCCATCGTAATGTCGCATTACAGTCCCGTGCACAAGACAGTAGAGTTGAGATATTGTTGAGCACGAAATCCTGATTCAGAACTCCTTCCGATAAGAAGGCAGAGAGATCTGACAAGAGTGTCTGGACCTGCCGTCACGACGGTTCTTCAGAAAAATAACCAGCAAAACTGAGACTGCTCACTTTGGAGATTTGTTCCTGGCTCACAACACGCACAGCAGAAAGCGTAATGCTCGATGAAATTGCGTTTTTTGCCGCTTTGAATCGACTCCATGCACTGAGAAGGTCCACGGTGAATCCCATAAAGACTGGAAGTACCCAGTAAACTCTGAAAAACTTGTCCACAATCTCCCGCATCATCACACTATCGGAGTGAAGAATGGTTGGAGCGAAGTAGAGTAGCACGTAAAGGCTGGCAGCTTGACCAAGAAGAGCTGTAGTTCTGTGATCCGGACTAGGATAGTGCCCGACTTGATTGTACAGGTCGTGAGACTTCAGCCTTCCAATTACCGTTTTCACCAGAGAACTCGGCAAAGGAAAGCGTGAAAACGATTCCTCTGGCCTGTGCAGGTTGAGCATCGTTGCCGGGACTGGTGGCGGGGAACTTTGAAGAAACGCTGTCACAGCCACCACGGGCGAAGATGTTGGCTGAGGATAGTGCCGGCAAAGCGTAGAAATGGACTCGAAGTTTGGGACGTCAAACGTGCCTTTGCAGCGAAAGTATGAAACCAAAAGGTTCTCTCGGAGTGTTCCATCGAGACGATGTTCAAGGAGAATGAGAACGACGCCTAGAAGCACCAATGCTTCTACTAGCAGTTGACAACCATCCTCGTTGTGGAGAACGCTTTCGACAGTGCTCTGGATGTAAACACCTTCCTACAAACCGAGCAAAGAACTGCTAGAACTTAGTCTAGAAAAAACTTGATATAGTTACCTGAAGATCTTCCAGATACCGTGTAAGATCGAGATAGTAGTTTACAATGCCATTGAAGAGCTGGAAGAACCGTTCTAACAAGTCAGAAAACTTGTCTCGAAACTCGTCGTCCAGGGAAGATAGCTCAGCATTTGATTCTATACGCTCCTCGAAAACATCAGGCGACTTGAAGTACCTGCGCATTAATCCACGTTACATAAATCCGAACTCCACAGCAAAAAACACACCTGAAATCGAACAGCAGAGGCGCGAAGATGGATCCGGGCGACTTAAACTCCTCCGGAACACGATCTGAGAGCCGCAAAAGCTCTGCAATAAGCGCCTGTGCTCGGCTTACCAGCTGAAGAAGCGCTACACCCACACTCTGCTCGCAGAAATCCAGCATAGCTTTAGAACCCTAAATAGTGTCGCGTCAATTTTTTTGAAAAAAAAAATGTCAAGCACTTGCTCGTTTTGCATCGATTCCACAAGGCCTGGAGCTTGGCGTCTTATTTGACCGAGCCTCATTTGAGCTCATTCCACCTGCATAGAGCATTCTTGATTGTATAAGAACCAGCAAGCAGTGATCACACTCATTTAAGCTTACCTGTCTTGCCTTCTCGCAATTTACTTTTCTTTTTTTGCAAGCTCGCGTTTTGCAACTTCAAGTCGTCAAGCTCCTTGTCCTTAAAGACGAGTTTAGCTTCTCCAGAAGAATCGCGAAAAATCCTGAGAAGATTACCTTCAATCTTCAGTTTTTCTGGGCTTTTCTTCGTTCTCTTTGAGTTTCATTTCATCCCCTTCGGATCTTTGACCACCTTTCGCCAAGTGTCTGTGAAATCAAACAAGCAGTCACGAGTAGTTCATTCCAATCCAAAGCGAAAAAAAAAAACGCATGCACCTGCTTGTCCAGCGCGTCCATCATATCTAGAAATCTTTGCCCCTTTCCTTTAGCCTGTATCACACCATAAAAATGTGAAACGCACAAGGAAACGGAAATAACATACTTTTGCAAGTGTCTCGCTTCCATTTGACGATATATTGGCTCTTCTGCGTCCAAGCACCTTCTAGAGTAGCAAAAGCATTAAACTGACAGTAAAACACGCTTTTTCATAGCTTACCCGAAGCTTGTTGGTACATTGCATAATCTGTATTCGTAGCTGAAATTCTTCTTGCGGATTGAGAGGTTTTTCGCTTTTCACAACCTAGAGATCGAAGTAAAGATCGCGTCACATGTTGGATGGTAGACTTCGTACCTTGTCAGTCAGCTCATCCAGCTTCTCTTAAATGCTGCACGTTACAACGCAGCTAGTTGTTTGGAGTTTTCGCTCCAGTTCTTTCACCTCCACGGACAGCTTTTGGACTTGGGACCCTGCAGCTTTTCTCCCTGCCTCTATTTGAAAAATCGAGCTTTGAAGAATCGAGTTTCGAAGCTGAACAAGGAAAGTTCTTAGTAAGCTCTTCACAGCGAAAGAAACTTTCTACCTGTAGTGGCTGGGACTTATCCACAAGCTCAGTCTCGGTATCCGGAAGTTCCATCTCCGCTCTGAAAAGAAGTTTATGATCGAAACAGGAAAAGAAAAAGAAGAGCGTACCTGGAGTAAGCAAAAATAATCACAATATCCAGTGCGTGAATGGTCCCAAATATCCAATCAGGAGATTATAAAACGCACGAACTGATGACAAGCGTCAGTATAGAGATCCTGGAAGATTTAGCTGCTGGAGCTCAATCCTAAAGAGACGATCGATCGTGCTTGATCAATCGCCATAGCTTGGAAATCCCACGAGATACAAGCTGGCTTGACATCAATGACGCCGATCTGCGGCGATGTCCCTAGCATAAACCCTAAGACGAAATTTTGGCGGGAAATATAATTTAAACTTGCCCACGTTGGCATGCCACGTGGGTTTATCATCTGGTTGCCCTAAAAACAACAAAAGAATGAGCTCGGCTATGGCTGCCATGCCAGTGACCGCCCGCGCATTGGGATTGCGGAAGAATGCCTCATCCACGCCGCGGCAATCGATCACAGGTGATAGATTCCTTAGATTTCCACACATCGATCGCTTCGCGCTTCCCGCGAGGTCTTCAAGCGACGAGGATCCTCCGGCTCCGCCTCAAGAAGCCTCCCCGGCGGACTCACAGATAGAAGCGCTGGAGGCGCGGCTCAAATCCAGGCGGCGCAAGCGGAGGAGCGATCCAGCGGCAAGCTCGTCGGCGAGGTCCGATCTTCCAACGCGTGAAATCAAGCCCTGGGATCAAATGTCGCTGGGAGAGAAGGCGTATGAGGTCTATGTGGGTGAGAAGGGGATTCTCTTCTGGCTCAACAAGCTCGCGTACGCATCCATCTTTGTAATCGCTGGAGGATGGATTGTTTTTAGATTTGTTGGGCCGGCTTTGGGGTGGTACCAGCTTGACAAGCCGCTCTTACCTCCAGACAAGCTCTTTTCAGGCAGTGGTGACGTGAAACCACCATCGACTTAAAAAGTGTAAGTGTAAGCTCCTGGGTGGGATTTTCTTTTTTTCTACCTTTTGTCTGCCTCACCACAATTGCGTTGTGTTGCTGCTCGTCTGGTTTTCCTTTAAATACTTCGTACTATGCAGGCGTTTAGGTGTGATCCCAGAGAGCATCATCAGTGGCAGCAGCGATGGTTTAATTCGTGATGTTGAGTTTGGTATGTCCTGTGCTGGGTACTTCGTTTTTTTTTTCCTGAGAAAATTCATTGCTCGCATTCCAGGGATTTAAAATTCCGAGTAGAAGCCAGAGAGAGAGCCAGTTGAAATCTTATGAGATAGCATTAGAACAGAGCATCAATCCGGAGCAACAGCTCTAACAAGGTAACTACTTTCTTTCTCTTGTTTTTGTTACTCCTTGTTTCTATAGTTTTTCTTTTACTTACCATGCACACGCTTTGTTTTGCAGCCGAAAAAAGCCATAGATTTGTGATAACTCACTCAGTTGCACTGGTTAGCACCAATTCCGACGCGGTTGCCAGTGCTATCAAACGACATCCGGAACGACTGCTGCTGGATGTTGCCGATGATCGAGAAGTTCTCGCTGTTTGGAGCAAAAGCCAGGCAGTAAGTCCCCGAGTTGTCCACCGGAACCATGATGTTCTGAGCAGGCAACGCCATGGTAGCACCTCCGTTGAACACAAAGCTCACTGCCGGCAACATTATCGACGATCGCCCAGACAGGTCGTAGCAAGTGTCAAACAGAGAGAAGCCGCTCGTCATCTTCGCGTCCGACGGCATACCAGCTCGAAAAGCATCCCTCATCGGGTTGTAGGCCGAGGTGACGAGCCGGGTGACGGCAGTGCCCGAGTCGAGGATCACACCACCGTTTCCAGTCGACGAATCTAGCGAGAGTGAACCCGCCGGGATGCTTACTGAGGTTCCGCCAACTTTGATGCCGACCATCTCAACATAGTAGAAGGTATCCAGCTTCGGGTTCGTGAGCAGGGTGGTGAACTGAGCATTGGATGCCACTGCCTGGTTGCCGAAGATGAGCGGCACACTTCCGGTGGACTCTCTAGTCGGCAGGCAGTACGAGAAAACACTGCCGTAGAGCTGGCCGACCTGTGACGGAAACGAGAGAAGTCCCTTGCCGAGTCCGAGAAGTCCAGCAGCGCCAGTGAAGAGGCCTTGATTGTTGTGCCCGCAGCCGATGGCAACCGAGTTGACAGCGTTGGAACCGAAGGAAAGAGTCTCGGTGGAGAACTCACCGACAGTGAAGGAGCCATCGCCGTAAGAGACCTGGTACAGGCACTGGTTCCTCCGGCAGCCGCGGATCAAGAGCTGCTGGCACAGCGAGCTCCCGCAGGTGATGGACTGGAAAGTCGAGGAGAAGGAAGGATTGAACAGAGGGTCCGTCTGGCCGTAGCAGCTCTGGCAAGGCAGGCATTGGAGCCAGAGAACATCGCTTCCGGTGTCGGCAACCATGTTGACGGTTCGCGGAGGTGTTCCGACTCCGAGAGAGACGAAGTACTCGCCACTGCCGTCGGAGAGGCCGGATCGCAGCGGCGTCTCGAAGTCCTGCTGCAAGAAGGGGTTGGTGTTCTTGAGGGGATTCGTGAGGCTCGACTTTGGGATCCCGGCGACTCCGAGGCTGATCCGGGAGGAGATGGACAGGAGGCGGAGCTCGTCACGGTGGAGACGATTGCGGACGAGGCCGTGTACGGTGGCGTTGGCTGGGCGGTACGGTGAATCTGCCGAATCTCTGTGCATGAGACCGATTTGGAGACCACTGCTGACAGACTCTTCTTTTTCCTCCAGGCCTTGGGTGGAGGAGGAGGAGGAGCCGCGAGCTGGAGTTACGGGAGTGGGATTTCTTCCGAGGAAGAGAGCGTCGATGCTGATCTTGAGGTACTCTTTGTCGCTGCTGCTAGCTCTGGATTCCACCGAAGTGACCACCAGGCTGAGAATGCAGACGAGCGCAGCTAGAGCCATCGTCGCCCCTGCGAGACAAAGATCGATCGATCAAAGAAAGACGAAGAAGAGCAAGAAGCAATGCTAGGCACGACGACCCAATCAAGAATCCGAGGCATTTGGCACCGACTTACCGGCTAGAGGAAGCTCCGCGACACGATGAAGCTGCCCAAGTCCTCCAAATCTCTCGCCGAGCTCACGGTGCCGCGAGCATTCCCCGGGAATTCGAGAAGAACGCGACTAGAAAAGCGAGCCAAGGCCAAAGAAAAGGAAATTCCTGACAAAAACTCTGGAGCACGGGCAAGGAGGTGGAAGGAACACACAAGGATCGATCGGTCGAGAGATGGGCTATAACTCTCGCGAGAGTTAAAAAAAGAGCTCCTCCCTCTCAGAGATGGAGGAGATGGTGAAAGAAAGAAGCAAAGCAAGCTCGTGATACCTGTGAGCAAAGAGGCCACATTTATACCATATGGAACAAAAGAGAGAGGGAAAAGTGGGAGCACAGCACAGTAGCCAGCAGCAGCAGGAACAAGGCAGGCGGGCGGATTATTATAGTCAAATAAACTCGATAATTAAGACGCAAAGCTAATCTACAAAGAAAAAAAAAACAGAGGAAAACACGACTCTAGATGCTCTCTAAAGTTCAAAAGAGTTTGAGAAGTTAAACTCACTGTTCTTCGTCCCCAATTTGGATCACTTTTTTTACCACTGTGCATGGTAGAAAAGCTGGGATTTTTACATGCAGCCAACCCGCTTCTCACCTGCCTATAATTAAGAAGCACAACGAAGAAGAACACGTCCAGTTTTAACCGATATATTAAATGATCGATGATCGATCTCTCCCCCTGTTTGGTAAGGTAGCTAAGGTTTTTCTTTTAATTCTCGGTGGCGCCCATGATTCGATCCAATCGAGAGCTAAACTTGGAATGCGGCTCGAGAGACTCGCATCGCCAACCACGCTTTTTTTGGGCGGGCCAAAGTTTTCCAAGCTTCTTGGAAGGATCAAACAAGAGGGGATTTTCTTACTGCTCTTCCGTGAATTTAGTTTGAAGCGTCACAGGAGATGTGTGATTCTTGTTAGTTGGAGTAGCGATCTTGCTATTTAGATCCGAGGATTCGTAAGTTTGGTGTTGGATCTTAAACAAATGCGCCGCGTACGGCATTAGAATCAGAACAATGCGCCGCGTACGGCAGTAGACCCAAGTAAATGCCCGCGTACGGCATTAGACCTGGTTACGGTGTCAAAAGACAAGTGAATAAATGAAGATGACAGGCCGTACGAGCATTTGTCTTCCATGTTCTTTCGCCAAACTCTCGTACGTAGCGATCCAATGGATATTCTCTCCGTCCACGTCAGCGCACGATATACTAATGAGCAAAGTTTTTGCTCTGGCCTAGGGCTTTGGCTGGAGCTGCGATGGCGCTTTCGATCGGCCGGCATTGCGCGCGCTCGCGATCGCTCCTCCGGAGGCTCTACTCGTCGTCGCCCGATGCCGCGCCGGATCTTCCAGCTCTTCAAATGCCGGCTTTCGATCACGTCCCGCGGCCCTACGCCGGCCCCAGCGCCGAGGAAGTCCTCGAGAAGCGGAGGAAGTTCATGAATCCCGCAATGTTTCTCTACTACAAGAAGCCTGTGAGTGTGAATTTGTGTCTTTTTGATGGATGGATTGATCGCGGGCGTCTTGCAGCTCAATATTGTGGAAGGGAAGATGCAATATCTTTACGATGAGAGTGGAAAGAGGTACTTGGATGCGTTTGCTGGGATTGTCACTGTTTCCGTGGGTCATTGCCACCCAGAGGTTGTCCAGGCCGTGATCAAGCAAACCGAGCTCTTGCAGCACACAACCACGATCTATCTACACCATGCTGTCGCCGATTATGCTGAAGCTCTCGCGGCAAAAATGCCTGGAAATCTCAAGGTTCTGTGAAAAGTTCTATGTTCTTCTGTAAACTTTTATCTTTCTTTCCAGGTGGTTTTCTTTGTGAATTCTGGATCAGAGGCTAACGATATGGCAATGCTTATGGCTCGGCTCTACACTAAGTCGTATGATATTGTTGCTCTACGTAATGCCTATCACGGTATGAGCCCGTCTACCATGGGACTTACTGCCCATAGCACCTGGAAATATAGCGTCCCTCAGGTAAAATCTTTCGTGTCGGATCTAGAGCTGAATTTTTTCTTTCTTTTTTTTCTTTTTTTTTCTTCTCTTCAGGGATTTGGAGTACACCATGTTTTGAATCCGGATCCCTACAGAGGTCCGTTTGGAGCTGATGGAAAGCTCTATGCAAACGACATCGCAAATCTTATTGAGTCAGCAACACCCGGAAAAGTGGCTGGATTCTTTGCAGAAACAATTCAGGTTTTGCTGTGAAAGTTTTTATATTCTGTGTGTCGTGAGCCTTTGTCTTTTTTTCTTTTCAGGGTGTTGGCGGCGCCGTGGAACTTGCGCAAGGCTACTTACCAGCAGCCTACGAAATAATTCGAAATGCTGGAGGTCTTTGCATCGCGGATGAGGTACAAACCGGGTTTGGCCGCACTGGAAGCCACTATTGGGGATTTGAAACTCAAGATGTTCTGCCAGATATCGTGACGATGGCGAAGGTCGGTGTTTGTTTCTTCCTCTTTTTTGCTTGCCAGTGAAGTATATGCTAACTCCAATATCCAGGGAATTGGAAATGGTCTTCCTCTGGCTGCGGTGGTCACGACACCAGAGATAGCAAGTGTTCTCGCAGAAAGACTCTTTTTTAATACTTACGGCGGGAATCCCGTGTGCTCGGCAGCAGGCCATGCTGTGCTGAAGATTTTGGACAAGGAACAGCGTCAGCAGCACTGCGCTACTGTCGGAAACCATCTTCTCGCGAGACTCCGGGCTTTGCAAGATAAATACGAGCGTACGTATATCCATGCTTTGGTTTAGTTCTAAGAACTCTCCAACTTGATCTTTGCAGTGATAGGAAACGTCAGAGGCAGAGGTTTGATGCTGGGAGTAGAATTTGTCACCGACAGAGTTGCCAAGACTCCCGCGAAGAACGAGACGATGATGGTGATGGAAAGAATGAAAGGTGAGCTTTTCGGTTTCTTTGTTTACGCGTTGTCACGGCTTTCTGGGTTTTCTATCTTAGATCTTGGGGTGCTCGTCGGCAAAGGTGGGCGACATGGTAACGCGCTTAGAATCAAGCCGCCGATGTGCTTCACTCTCGAGGACGCTGGTAAGAACAAACTTAATCAATTAGATTGTCATCTTTGATAAGTGTTCTTAACACTATTTCTTTACAGATTTCCTGGTTGATGCGTTGGATCATTCGCTCTCCACGCTTTAAATCCTTAAGGTGAAAGATCACCTCTCTTTCATATGTGGAAACGCAAAGACCATAAAAAGCAATATATTTGATTCCCTACGGTGGGTATATTCCCGCATCTTAATCTAATTTGTCGAGAGGATATTCCAGGGTGAAATGGCAGGTGGAAGCTTGATCGTGTTCCATGGATGGAGTATCTCGACGCGCTACAAACCCTAGCGTCTTGCTCGTCGCCAGCGCCTGCTAGTGCCATCGCGAGGCGTAACCTGAGGTGCGTATCCAGCAGGGGACGACGATCGCCGGCTTCGATCCGGCTCCATTTGGTGGAATTCCAGCAATCTCTCCAGCGATCTCGCATCGTAGCTGCGGTGTTCTTGTCATCTGAGGTGCGCGCTACTGCGCGGCCAAGGCGCGGCGGCCGCAGGAAGAAGGCGGAGTCGCAGGATGGAGATGTGGAGCTCGAGATTTTCAAGTTTATGGAGCAATCGGGAAAACCTAATACGTTCCCGACCAAGGAAGAACTCTTCGCTGCTGGTCGTGGCGATCTAGTGGAAGCTGCTGTTAGGAAAGGGGGCTGGCTGACAGTAGGATGGGATTTCCAAAGGCCATCCTCGTCTGGGAGCGATCTGACCCAAGAAAAATTCGAAATTCACGTCAATGGTTCGAGGAAAAAGAAGGATCGAGCTTCGAAAAATGGATCAAGGTGAGCGAGAGTATCAACTTGGAATACTTTTTTATTCATCTTTTGCTTTTCTCGTTTCAGTGATAGTGATGAGCAGCATTTGATGCGGTTGAATGGCCAAACCAGCCAAAGTTTTCCTGCAAAGGTGTGTTAGTGTTTATAATTCGTTGGTTGGCCGAGATTTTGATGTTCACCCTCGTCAGGGAATTTTAGTCCATGGAAGCAATCCGGTAGAATCAAGCTGCCCCGCAAATGATGGACCTTCTTACATACGAAATGGAAAGGGTAGGAGACATCCCAGAAAAACAACGAGCACGCTGGCTGAAATTGACAAAGCTACTACCAATGGTAAGGACCGTTTCTATTTATTTGTTCTGTGTATAAGTTGTTTTACTCTCAGGCCCAGAACTAAATGCCGAGGCCAGCCATGAGCACTGGAGAAGAAAGCGCAGGAAAAAAACGACGTCCATCGCAGCTGATGATAGTACCAGCGTGAAGAATGCCTTGAGTTGGATACACGACATGGTTCAAAAAAGGGAGCAGTGGATTTTGGAATCAAGATCGAGACCTTCGAAACTAAGGTCATCGGAAACCCCTCCAGCTGATATTACTCCTGCAGAACCAGAGTCTTCGCCACTATCAAGGAGCGATGACAGCAGAGTATCGCGAAGCTCGTCTCGAATTTTTTCAGCGGAGTCACCAGCAAGGGGTTCTTTGAAAGGAACTTCGTTGAGACCATTTTCGAGGGTACCGTCAAGCACGACAGAAAGTCCTGAAACGTCCGCAAGATCACTCACTTCCAGCAGCCCATCAAAAACCGGACAGGACATACGAACTCCAGCTCCATTGACAAGAACTTCATCCAGAGTATACTCAACTGGAGCTTCAGCTTTGTCCAAGAAATCTTCATCTTCTGCTGCAAGCTTTTCTTCTACCACAGAGACCGGCGGCTCAAATTCTTTCAACTTTCGATTGCAGAAGCTGGAAACAAAGCTGCTTGCCACTCGCGCAGCGCTAAAATCCGGGCGCGCCACATTGTTGAAAGGAGAAGACAAGCTTTTGCAGGTTGGTGAGTAGGCAACAATGTTTTCACGCCAAACATCTCACGTTGTCACTGCAGGTACAACGAAAAACTAGCGAAGATCTTGCAAAAGCCGCGGACTCTTTGGAATTCAAGGAGACCGAGATCATGCAAACCCGTGCGGAGCTCCGGAGAACTCGCGCTCAAGTAACTGCAATGCAAGCGAAGATGGCTCTGGAGCTCTCGTAAGTTGCATTCCCTGATAGCTTTCTCATGCTCAAAGTTTCGCGTTCTAGGGAAGCTCGCAAAGCAGCTGATGAGAAACAAGTGCTACTCGACAGAGCAGAGAACGCGTTAAAGATGATGCGATTTGTACGCATTGTTTGGCCCAATGCTGCGTCGCACGTCCTCCTTACAGGCTCCTTCGACGGTTGGACAAACAAGGTATCAAAGATCTTCTAGCGGTGATAAAGTAGTTCTTATTCTCTTTCTCTTGGCAGATCAAGATGGAAAAATCTGGTGCTGGAGTCTTTGTGACGGCTCTACATTTGTATCCTGGCCGCTACGAGGTAAGGATCTTCGCAAATTTTTGATCGAGTTTTAGGAGAACTAGACTGAGTTTCGCAAGAAGTTTGGATTGGAGAGAAGTAGATTGAGTTTCCCAGAAGCTTGGAGAACTAAGAACTGTGTTGTTTATGTTTTTTTCCAGGTAAAGTTTATAGTGGACGGAACATGGCGAGTAGATCCATGCCGTCCAATCACATACGCCGACGGCATCGAGAACAACGTGTTAATGGTGTCCTGACGCTACACACAAAGAAAAAGAACACCCACACTGGGCGAAAAGATTTCGACCGTCTAGAAATTGGACGGCTAGGTGTTAATGTAACGTTTGTATTCGTGTCAATGTAACGTTTATATTCGTGTTAAGCCAATCAATTAGGGTTTATCGGAGGAGGATGGGAGCCGAGGTTCACGCGGTTGCGCCCGTCGCCGGCGCCATGGACATCAACGCTGTGCGCGATCTCATTGCCGCGCGTCGATTCAACGAGATCGCTGCCTTCTGCGAATCGCTGGAGCTCGAGGTAATCGCGATTTTCTCTTCGGCGTGCTTGGCTCAGGGTTTACGTGTAGTACGCCGCGAGAGGATCAGAGCATGGCGAGGATTGGCCTTACGCAATCCACATTCTTGGCCATATCTATAACTCGGATTTGTAAGTTCTTTGGCTATAGATTCTCCTCTTTCTTCTCTCTTGATCGATTTTTTGTTTCCTTCTCCAGGGACAGTGCGAGGTTTCTTTGGAAGCGGATCCCCGACTCGATCAAGCAGTCGCAAATGGAGCTCGCTCAAGTCTGGAAGATTGGTCAGTGCATGTGGACTCACGACTACGTCGCAGTGCACGAAGCCATCCGAGGATTCGACTGGACGCCAGACGTGAAACAAGTGGTCGCTGCTGTTGCGGGTAAGGCACTCGTCGGTGATCTTTGCCTTCTTTTCTCATTGCTTACTTACACCACAGAGGACTTCTCGAGAAAAATCTTTCGGCTCCTGTCCACGGCATACTCGACTTTGAGCATACCCGATGCTGCGTCATTCTTTGGACTTACGGAGAGCGAGACCATCGCATGTAAGTTCTTTCCAAACTTTTGCAATGGTTGGAAAAAAGTTCTTAGTGTGTGCCTGTGTTCTTACAGTGGCTGAGCAGCAAGGATGGATATTGGATCCCACATCGCAAATGTTCAACGTCCGGTCTATTCCACCGACGGCAGAGCAAAAGCTGGATACGAGCAACTTACAGAACCTGACGGAATACGTCTTCCATTTGGAGCATTGAGTACTCTCTCTTTACCTTTCTGCTTGTTATTTTATCTGAAAGTTCATATCGACATCTCTTTCAGATGCGCGCGCTCCGTTAAGATTCAATCTAATTGTACCCGCGCACCCGCAGTCAACTGCAAAAGTTGTGTCATGCGGAGTTCATGCTCAACCAAATTGCTCCGCTTTAGTCGAGCATTTAAGAAGTTTTGTTTGGCTTGAGACTCCGGTCATGGCTTCCGTATTGATTCTTCTGACTTCCTCGCTGTTGGTGTTCCAAGTTACAGGCTACTGCGGACCTCTGACGAGCTTCGAGACAGCTCCATGCTCGGTTTTCTCTAGAGAGCCTGGCTACGAGCTTCGCGAGTATCCTGGAGGCCAGGTAAATAAAACTTTGCTTCAAGGCCAGGATTGATATTTTCTCGTGCAGCTGGTGGAACTTTCGATTGAAAATTCCACATTCGAAGCTGCCACGTTTGCCGGATTCTTTCGCTTGGCCTCGTACTTGAATGGCGACAACCGGCACGACGTCCAAGTCCCAATCGTCCTTCCTTTTATGGTCCAGCCAGCCTCCAGTGTTGATGGCTACAGAGTTGGATTATACCTCCCGAGAAGGTGAGATCATTTTCGTTTCCTTGTTTTCCAACTTCTAAACTGTTTCGTGTGAAACTTTCCAGTGTTGGCGATGCTCCATCGCCGAGGGACAGGAGCATGCGCATCAGGGAAGCGCACCGTAGCATTCAAGCCGTGATTGGTCCATTCCCCGCCTTCGCTATTAATGAGACGAACTACTTGCACAACACGAGGCAGCTCATGCGGTTCCTCCAGCGCGACGGGCTTCGCTACAATCCTTCCTCGGTGATCTACGCCGCGTACATCAATCCCGCGGACTTGCTCACCATCCACCAAGAAGTTCACCTCCAAGTTCTCTTCGATTGATAACGAGCTCAGTTAAGAACTCAAGAACTTTCTTTGAATGTATGATATTAACAAGTTTCTATATGATCAGGCAGTAGCGTCTAGCTCCCCCTTCTCAAGCTTTTCCGCGAGAACTTTCACGGTTTTCTTCTCTTCTTCCACAGTGTCAAGGATTTCCTCGATCTCGTCGTGAATCTCCTCGGCTGTGGCTTCCACCTTCAAATCCAAGAGTAAATCTAGAGTTTGAGCCGTGGTTTGTTTTAACTTTGGTTTTTTACCTTCTCTATAAGCTCCTCGACGCCGTCCGCCGCCTTATCGGCATACTCGGCGAGTTTTTCGACGGTGTTGGCCATCCCTTTGATCACCGCGGCGCTGTCTTTGATGCTCTCCTCGGCGCGATCCAGCTCCCCTGCGCAAGCAAAGCAAAGACCCATCCATTTGATCGAGCGAGCGAGCGAGAATCACTTACTGTCTAGTTGCTGGAGGAAGAACTTCGCGGGAGTGTTTGCAGCGAACCTCACCACGGATTTTAGCCTGGAGGGAGTGGATCAAACGAAAGTTTCTAGGACGATCTCTTGAGAAGCTTGGAGAAACTTACACATCTTTGAATGTGGCCTCCACAGTGACACCGGGTGGAGCGGTTCTGGATCTGGAAAGCCAGTGAGTGAGCGAGCAAAACGAAGATCAAGCTTGTGAATTTCCACCTCACTCGCAGCCTGGAGAAGTCGTGCGATCCAACGCGCAGCCTGTTGGTTTGACAGATTGCAGTCAAGCTCGAGCAGATCTGCTGGGAGCCGGTGATAAACTCTTTGGTGGCATTCTGGTGGCACGATCCAGCTGCCAGAACAGCCGCGGAAGAGGCAGCCATGGATAGATCCACCGCAAACTCCGGAAGAACACGAAAGAGGGAAGAAGGGAATGAGGCGAATAGACAAAGGTTTTTTCGTTCTAATCAGTGAAGGCAAAAAGGAAAAATTAGGAAAAAAATCGCAGGAGCCATCGTCGTTCTAAAGCCTTATAATTCCACCGGTGTGGTCGCATCCACATGGTTCTCGTGGGCGGCTTTTTATCTGTTCTAATGGTTACACCATCCAGAACCTTTACAAACGTTTTTCACGATCATTGATCTGATAATCATTCATTCATTCATTCATATGTTATGAAGCATGAGACCAACAACTTTAAATGTGATTTCTTAGCATCTTAAAGGCGAATTATCAAGATGCCATTTTAAAGGCAAATGCTGTCATAGAATAGTTAATTTATTTACTTTCAAATATCTAGTTAACTTCTATTGCAGTTGTCCTCAATCGGCATTAAAGATTGAGTTGTTTAAAATCAGGTAAACTTTATGTTCTTGGGATTAATTATTTTTGTCTTCTTTCTCAAGATGCCCATTCTAGGCAAATGCCAAGAAATGTAACCAATGTAATTTCTAACGGACACTTGCCTAGGGTTCTATGCGGCTTCTCTCAACAGAGTCTCTCCAATCATCCAGATCCGCCCTCCTTGCGCTCGTGAAATCGGCCGGGCAATCCAGAGATCTCGCCCAGGCGCGCCGCGCGCACCACCAGATCCTCGACACCGACTGCCGCAATGATCCCTACCTCGCCAATCTCCTGGTGGAGATGTATGGCAAATGCGGCAGCGTGGGCGACGCGCGATCCGTGTTTGACTCCATGCCCACCCCCAATTCCTTCTCCTGGGCGCTCCTCCAATCGGCCTATGCCCACAACGGGCATCTCCACGCAGCGCGCGAGATCTTCGCTCAAATGCCCGAGCGAGGGATCGTTTGCTGGAATTCGCTCCTGGCGGGCCTCGCACACCATGGCGATTTCCGAGAATCCAACGAGTTCTTCGCGAAAATGCCACAGCACGACAGATTCTCGTGGAAGGCGATGATCGCAGCATTTGCCCAGAATGGGCTTTTGGAGTCTGCGAAATTGTGCTTTGATGCCGCACTGGAGCGCGATCTAGCCTCTTGGACAGTGATCTTGCAAGGATTTACGCGTAATGGATGCTTGAATCACGCAAGAGAATTTCTGGAAAAAATGCCACTGTGGGATGGAGTTTCTTGGACAGCTTTGCTTCAAGCATTTGCCCAGGATGGGCATTTGGATCAGGCAATGCATGTCTATAGCTTAATCCCTGAGAAGGATATAGTGGCATCCACGATCATGATGCAAAGCTACGCTCACCACGGTCGGCCCGACGCTGCCAAGAGGATTTTTGATGGGATCTTGCGAGACAAAAGAAGCATTGTGACTTGGAATGTGATGCTCGGTGCTTACACCCAGTCGGGAAAACTGGAGCTCGCCAAGGAGATTTTTTATCAGATTCCGGTCGAGAAAGATTCCGCGACTTGGTCGACGATGGTCCAGGCGTATGCGCAAAGCGGATACATGACAAAAGCGAAGAATCTCTTCGATTTCTCGCCGAGAAAGTCTGTCATGACTTGGAACTCGATGGTCACGGCGTTTTTCATCAACGGGCTGTTCGATCAAGGGAGAGAAGTCTTCAGCAAAATGCCGATGCAAGACACAATCTCGTGGAACGCGCTTCTTGCAGCGAATGCTCAGAACGGGAATCTTGAAACCACAAGGATGATCTTCGACGGCCTCTGCGACAAGAACGTTGTGGCTTTCACGTCCATGATCCAGGCGTATGCTCAAGGTGGTCATCACAAAGAGGCGCTAGAGCTCTTCTACGCGATGCTACTCGCGGGAGTGAGACCAAACGCGATTACGTACGTTGGAGTCTTGAGCGGCTGCAACCACGCGGGGCTGGTCGATGCCGGAAGAGATCACTTCTTGTCAATGCAAGCTGACGAGGGGATTGATCCGGTGGTAGAGCACTACTGCTGCATGGTGGACATTCTTGGCCGGGCTCGGAGACTGGCAGATGCCGAGGAGCTTATCAACAGCATGCCGCTGGAGCCGGACGTTGTTGCTTGGAAGTCTTTGCTCTCGGCTTGCAAGACTCACGGGGACGTCGATCGTGGAGCTCGGGCTGCCAGGTTTCTCTGCGAGCTTGAAGCTGGATAGGAGATCTCGTGTTGAAAGTTATCATCTGGAACTCTTTGGCGCAAGATATACTCGGGCCCGAGAACAAGGTGGTGGTGACAGGAGCCTCGAACGGGGCATGGAAATCCACTCCCGAGCTGTGAGTTCCTTGGCTAAGACATGTACTCCAAGTGTGGCAGCCTGCTCGATGCTCGGATGGTCTTCGACTGGCGGGGGCGGGCTATGGTGTCGTGGAACTCGTTGATTCTCCGCTACGCAGAGAGAGGAGAGGAAGAGCTCGCTCTGGGACTTTTCTGGTCCATGGAAGCTCAGGGCTTCTCCCTGGATGATTGAAGGTTAGTCCTTGAAAGCTACTCGAAGTGGCTTCGACGGTAACTCGTTCGTTGCTAGCTCCCTTGGTCGACATGTACTCCGAGTGCGGCAGCATGCTCGGAGAGTCTTCGATACTTTTGGCCAGCCCTCATTCTCGGCTACGTTGAAAACGGTGACGAGAGGCTGGCTTTGGAAGTCCTCGACAACTTGCAAGACCAGGAGGCCTACTCCATCGCCAACTCCCTCACCTTCGTGGCTGCTCTCAGCGCCCGCATTGCGTCGAGGGAACCGGATCGAGAACTCGATGGAAGGATTGTGAAGCTAGAATCGCTGTCCAGGGGCAAACGCATCCACGCACAAGCTGTAAGCTGCCGCTGCGACTCGGATACCATGGTGGACATGTACGCCAAGTGCGGTACCCTGGTCGACTGCATGCCTTGTAGAACAGTGGTGTCGTCGAACGTCCTGTTGCTTGGCTACGCAGAGAATAACGAGGTCGAGCCTGGCCTCGACTTGTTCTCTCGGATGATTGCTGGTGACGAAAGAATAGCACCAATCTTTTGTCACAGCTCCCACACCTTTCTAATTTGAATACTGTTTTTTTTTTATGAAGGATGCAGTGGCGCATTCACTCCCCGATTGGTTCAAGATATTCAGAGCTGGTGGGCGACACTTTTCATACATTGATAGCATTTTATCATGTATGCCAGGAGTCTGTTTAATCCTTTCTATGCTTCTTGACATAGAACTCTATTATTCTAGCTATTGTTCTAGCTATATTGTCCATAGCTCATCCTCTCAAACAGCTCCAAAGCCAGAATTATGTTGATCTAGCCACTTGAAAGCAATAAGGCCTGCACTCTCATCGCGGTGAAAGAGGAAGGGCAGAAAGTCAACGGCAAGCTCGTCAAAGTGAAGGCAATGGAAGTAGGAATGGCGATCCACTCCCAGGCACTTTACACAGACGTGTTCGTAGCCAGCACGTTCGTTCACATGTACGCCAAGCTGCAGGGCCTTCGATAAAATCCCTGCTCAAGCCCGGGACGTGGGTCGTTGATCCTCGGCCACTCAGAGGATGACGAGCCCCAGCTGACACTGGAGCTCTTCTTGCAAATGCGGCACTTCCAGATCCTCCCAAACGCCCGGGCTGCTCTCAAGGCGTGCACAAAGTTGGTGGCGTTGGAACAAGGCAGTGAAGTCGAGATCCATACTGGAAAGGTGGCGGTGGTGAAGCTGAAAGCTCTAAAGATTGGCCTCTATGTGAGTGAATCGGAGCTCTTCGTCTTCAACCTCACCATCGATATGTACTCCAAATGTGGCTCCATGGACGACGCCTGGCAAGTGTTTGACACCATGGAAGCAAGAGACATGGTTTCCTGGACCGCCCTGATGCTCGGCTCCACAGCCCCAGCTAAGCCTCAAGCTCTTCTTATCTCTCAAGCTGCCACCCAACGAATGGTTCCCAAATGCTCGAGTATACATGACTGCTCAAATCCTGTAGGCTTGGCTGAAAGATCCAGCTATGGCCTACTAAAGAATGACCATTAGTGAGGGTCCAAATCTGGATGAAATTACCATTATCTGTTCTTGTTGCTTGTAGACACAGTGGCCTTGTGTCCCAAGGAGGATTTAAAAAGATATATGAAGGTTGTGCCATCCTTTTAAAAGTGAATATTTTGTTAGAGTATCCGGGTGATAATGGCAACAACAATGGTTAGCATTGAAAATTTTTACACTTTTGAGTTAGGTCAGAGAGGATAAGTTATCATTTATAAAATTACACGCAAGGTGGATGGTAAGTTATTTGCCTGTAAATCAATTAAAGTGAATGATTATAACATGATTGATGACACACTCTTAGATAAAAACTTGGCCTCCCATTAAACACCATCCTGATTCACTCTCTCTTTGCTTACTTGGTGATGACGTGGCATCAGCCCTTCTTTTTGTTTTATCTCCCGTCCGTCGCCGCTGTGCACTCCCACCTGTGGCTATCACCTGCCCGGCCCGCCCGCTCGCCCTCACGGCTCCCACCCACACTCCCACCTGCCCCCACATGTCCATGTGTGCCCTAAAATTACTTCCACATGGCCACAGCCCCAACACTTAGCCAAATTTCAATCAGTGTGTGTGTGGACGCCTTTCTACATGCTTTACGTGGCCAATGAGTGTTATGGATGACCATTAGGAGTGGTAAACTTATGAAATCTTCTCACTAATTTAAATATATGCAATTTAAGTATATAAAGAGTTTGTTTTTTTAGCTAAGATTGAGTTTTTCGTTTAAAGAGTTTTTCTTTCTTGTCTTCCTCTGCCTAGTAAAAGGAGTTGCTTCTGGACTACTAGAAGCTTTTCTTTTACCTGTAATTCTTTCCACCAAAGGTTTTGCTCACTTCAAAGATGTACCATAACTATCAACATGCTGTTGAAATTCTGTTGCAGGATGAATAAGATCGTCTGGCCTAGCTTTAAAAGTTGCAACCTTCTACTGTATCATTTCTAAATCGTTGTCAACCATAGATAAAAAAGCTTCTTCATCAGGAAGATCTTGTAAGATATCCATCATCTTTTGTTGTAATATTTCTTTTGTAACTTTTGATGGAGTGGTATCTTCCTACTTAAAGTTCATATCAATATTTAAAATTTACTTAGTGTAAATTACCTCTATAGTAGCCTTTAGCTGAATTTCTTGTTGATGATGTATATTTTGATAGATATCTTCCTGCTCAATATTCATATATATTAGTATATAAAATATGCTAGTTTACCTCTAATGTAGTCTTCAACTGAATTTCTTGCTCATGATAAACATTTTGATGGATGTTTTCCTGCTCAAACGTTTATATGTATTTCAAAATTTTAATTAATAAGTGAATTACTTCTGTCATAGCTTCCAAGTCAAGCGCTTCAAAATCTTGATGACGATAAAATAAATCATCTTACCCAAGTTCTAAGATTGCATATGATTGTGATGGTTGAACCTCATAACTAGTTGTAGTCCAATCAGTTTTTTCTCCTTGTTTTAACATAATAACTTTTGTTTGATGCTTGCAAAAGTTTCTTTTGGTTGCCCATGGACAATTACACCAAGTCGAAAAAGCCCAATCACTATGTCCTTCACCTCCAACAACAAGATACAGTATAGTTGGATCTGAAGAGAATTGTACATAAAATTTATGAGTATTGTCCTTATTGAATTTTACTTGAGAGTCGTTAATATTTTTTGTTTTAATAATCGCACCATTGATTAATTTTTCATATGCATGGTTTCGGATAAAACCATGATCTTTGCAATAACTAGTAAACTAGTACCTCGCATGAACCTTAGTAATAAGTTAATGAATTGCCCAATCCATCATTCGATTGCGAGTATGTTTTTTTTCAGATGAGAGTATAGCTTTCATATTTGCATAGAATGCCTAAATCAAACTATTTGTTTCCTTATTAGCATGATCTATCAAATATAAATTAAAAAAAAATTATAAAAATTAAAATATTGATTCACTTACCAACTTTGTCCTTCCATTCGTCTTGAAAATACTTGATAATAAAGGCTACTTCATTTTGAAAATCCACCTCAAAATGTTTAATAAATTATTTAATCTCAGCTCGCATAATATTATCATCATAAAAAGCTGCATGAATTGAATGATACATAATATCCGAAATGTTTCCATATTTCCATCTTAATATCCCAAGATTTCACCTTACGAATAATATGTTTGAGCCATTTCATCCTTACATACCAAATACATAATAGAAATTGACAATCAAATGTAACTCTATATAGAAGAAAACAATTAAATTATTTCATATCAAATTAATTACCTTATAGCATTAATCTTTGTTTCAGCATCATCAATCATTATCGCCCGTGGTTTTCAATTTGGCATGTGTTCTAAAACTCATTTTTTAAGAGCTATCATCCAATTCTTCATATGTTTTCCTTTCTCACTAGAAGTTAAAACCCATGCAATTGAAATATCATTTCCATGATAATCAAAAGCAAGCATGGTGTATAATGGGAATTGTAAATTATTAAGTAATTTATTGAGTCTTGATGCAACTTTTGGAACTAATCGCTACAAGGTAAAATTTTCATTCAGTTTTAAGTGAATAATATTATTTGAAAAGTTCACCATCTTTTGTAGTTCCTAAGTTGTCTGAATCCCAATAGTAAAACAATCTTTACCTTGATCACCTTTCTGATAGAAAAATGATTTCTCGGGATTTGTGTTCTTCCAAATACGTACACTCTATGCGTCATTCTCATATAATCGATAAGTTGAAAGTGAATACTTCCTATGCAAATTATTGATATCCTGCATAGTTAGAAAATCATCTCAATGAGGAGGTTCACCAGCTGACTTGTTCCTTCCCACAATCTGTATATGCTTATTATAAATCTGATTTGATGTGAAATCTTGCTGAATCATAAGAATCACCCAATGTCGAATATCTGCTGAAAGTTTCTGAGGAAATAATGACTTTCCTCCAGTCAAATCAAGTTGACCATAACAAAGAATCCCATTCTTTCTCTATGATAATATGTAATCTACATATAATCAAGCCATTTGTAAAACTGTTTGACCAAAAATTTGCAAAGGCAGCCCCGCTTATTAGAACTTCAACCTAGTCTACTTCCAAGTCCTGACTTTGGTGTAGATTCAGCAATTATAATAGAGGATGTTTCACGAGCATCTTATTTTCCATATTTTGTATCAAGAAGTTAGTAATTATATTTTGTTAAAAAGATATACCTGATTAATGATAAAAAAGCTTGTGTTTTTGGGTCTTTTCAAATCTCTAGGATTATGATTTTTGTTGGAAAATCGCCAAAAATCCACTCCATCACCCCATCTCTCACCATCTAGAAACTTGTTCACATCCTTCTGTAATATATACACAATAGGAGTTACAGTTTCATTTGATTTAGACAAATTCCAATTTAAATCATCTACACAAAAATAATACTTTTCATGGAATTTTTGCACCTCATCAAGCCATGGGGGATCCTAAATGATTTTCTTGAATCAATATGAAATTGAATTGATTGCTTACCTCTGGAAATTGATGTGCTGCTGCCATGCTTGATCATAAAAGAAACAGAAACGTTTTTAAGTCAATTATGGAGCAACCATCAAGCGTGAATGGGGGCGCGCTGATTGAAATTTGGCTAAGTGTTGGGGCTGTGGCCACGTGGTATTTTAGGGCGCACGCTGGGAACAAAAAGAAGGGCTGATGCCATGTCATTGCCAGGTAAGCGGAGAGAGAGTGAATCAGGATGGTGTTTAATGGCAGGCAAAAATGCGGGAAGAAGTTAAGGCAGAGATCAAGGCATTGATGCATCTCTCAAAGATGCAGATCAAAAGGTAAAATGGTGAAGATTATTACTATATAATGATGGAGTTATGCTAGTGTTCACTAAGGGATATATTGCTCAAAGGAAGAAGCAAATTGAGTATAAAGTAGCAATTGTGATCAAGAAATTAACCAATGTTATGCATAAAATGCACAAAAAAGGTGTGATATATAAAAACATCAAACTAGAGAATATTTTTTGAGACTAAGAGAGAATGTTCATGCATGTAAAAGAAAGGGTTGCCACACCCTTTCTTTTAGGTATAGAGGGTGTGATTGTTAAGACAGAGAGGTACAGAGCTCTTGAGATTTCATCTCCGGCTTGTGTATTTGATGAGAGGATTGACATGTGGAGCATGGGGACTATCTTGTATGAGATGTTATTTGGGACGTGCCTATTTTTAAAACTGGAGTCAAATGAAATCTTGAGGTTGGGGTATCTAGAGATCATCTCACTTAAGTGAACAAGCATGTCCCAGGAAGCAAAGAATCTTATCCTTCATTTGCTCCACATGGATTCTAAGACAAGCTTATCTTTACAGAAATTGAAAAAGCATCCATGGGTGGTGAAGAACTCACAGCATGAATTAACAATAGAGGAACTATATCAAACTATAGGAAAGGCAAGTTTGAAATTAATTTTGCATCACCTGAAAAAAGAAGTAAAAGAAGGAACAATTAAAAACTATAATAATAGAGGTAAAGAAGATCTAGCTTTGATGTGTGAATAATGCATGGTAAGTTGTGATGTTATAAAGTTTTGTATACAAACTGTACAAAATAATTTTGGTGTAAGATATGATGATTTCCTGGTGGAGTGGAAATCAAAACGTTGACCTTGAACCTCTAACATAAAAATGCAAAACACTAGCTTTCCTAGCAGAAATCAAAATCATTAGCATAAGTTTTAGTTTTAGTAAGTTTTAGTTGTATGTTCTTGAGCACATCATAGTTTAGTAATTTTTCCTAGTGTCCCATACCTCACTTCCAACGCAGTTGGGGCATGCCAGAACGTCATGGGGATCAACCTGTGCCTTGATCTCGCCAAGCCTCTCGTAGTGCACCGAAGAACAACGTCTGCCAATCCGGCTTGTTGTAATCTCCCTCGTTCATATAGCTCCCAGACTCCAGTGCCAAGTCTCTAAACACCTGGTTCGCACTCGTGATGCCTGCAAACTTGTGCTGGATCACATCGTCGCTTGCATTGTCGTCCCACACGGCCTGGATGACAGTGTGCCACAGGGCCTTCCTCCACGCAGGATTCAGCGCAGCACTGTGCTCGTCACCTAGAGCTCCAGCTCCACCACCAACGCCCATGGTGAGAATGAAGTTCCTGGCGCCGTTGCTCGAGTTCCTGGTGAGGATCCCCATGTAGGCGTCGGCGATGGCGTCCAAGCAGTTGACAAACAGCGACCTGGGAAGCAGCTTGCTGGCCAGGATCCCGTGCACGGCGTTCTTGCACAGCGTGGCATTGAAGAAGGCGTAGAAGTTTGGAAACGTGGCGATTCTCTGGAGCACCTTGAGCCCCGGGTGGCTGGCCGCGAAGTCGACCAATGGCTGCCAGTCCTGCTGCGCTGTGCTCTGGTTGCCCCCGGGAAGAACGTAGTTCAAGTGACCGCCATTGGGAAGGGCGACAAAGCCTCCTCCGTATCCTTTGTCTGCAGTGGATGGCATGAGCCTGGCGTACTCGGCGATGAAGTCCCTCAGGCTGGAAGAATCGTTGGCTGAGACCTCGTGGTGGACGTTGGTGACAGCTGCTGGTGCCGGGTGAGTCCTGTAAGTGACGCTGAGAACCACGCCAAATGTTGCGGGGCCGCCACCCGGAGAGCCCAGAAGGGATCCTTGTTCTGGCACTCGTTGGCCACGAAGTAGCTTTCATCGGGTGTCACCACGTTGATCTCGAGGATGTTGTCGGCTGGGAGGCCATAAGTTGGTGCAAGAACGCTGTGTCCGCCACCTCCGACGTATCATCCCACAGCACCAACACGAGCTCAAGTTGGATCATCAAGAGAAAGAGAAATTATCAAGAAACTCCTTGGACAAAGTGACTGCAAATGCTGAGTAATAATCGTGCAGCAGCTTATAAGAGATGTAATTCGAACTGCACAAGAGAACAACTTTGTTACATCCATGGAGCCACAAAACGACTCACTCAAAGTTACCTTACGAGTAGAGTCACATGTTTTCGACATGATCACACAACCCTGCCAATCAGAGCGACATTTCGTAAGCGTACGGAAGTGATAACGAAAGTTAGCATGTTATGGAGTAAAAAACGTTTCAACAATCCTTGATCTCTATCATTTTGCTTGCGAATGCTGCAGCATTGTCTTCTTAATTAAAGCCTAAGTAAAAGATAAATAAGTAAACAGGAACACCAGAAAAATGCGCTTACTCGGTACTGGCTGCGTTGTTTTCTTACACGAATTATCTCGAGGCGTGACAAAGGATCTCTATCTTCGCAGCTGCCTGTGCCTGTTCTCTTGAAATAGTTGCTGTCTAGACCATCCTGGCTCACGTTGAGCATAAAGAATGAAACGGTGCTCAAGCATGGATCGCTGCGATCGATCTCTCGTCTTAAAGTTAGGGTCGACCGTATCCAAGTGGTGCAATGAAACCAAGGGAGTAGTCGGGTGAGAGTCGAGCAACCCGATAGCATCTCCACGAACGTCCATCTGCTAGAGCACGAAAGTTTTGAGAAGGAGCTCGAGCAGCCAGCCCTTTACCTGATGAAATCCTCTGTCCAACGTCAGTGGCACTCCAAGTTCTGCCATGCAAGCTTGTAGCTCCCCATACGTGATAGTTCCTCCTAATCCAGTTGTCTCTCGAGCGCTTCCACAAGTGAGTAGCTCCGTGCAATCCCAGCACCCCCGAAAGCCATGTTTGTCGAGAACCCTGTAACACTCTGGTAGTGGCTCTCCGAAAAAGCACCGATGTAGTATAAAACTGACTGTGGTCGTACTTGGGCGAGATTGTCCACGACGAAGAAGGTGTCGTCGTCCAAAAGAACGAACCAATGCACCCCAAAAAATTTGAGCCGGAACAACTCCGAAGGAAACCTCGAGACTCTAATCTGGTCCTTCATCTGCTGGCCCGTTAAGGTGAAGTTTCTCGAAAGCTCGTTGTTGTCGACGACTTGGAGCGGAGGCAGCGATCCATCTCGGCGAGAGCACCCCTCTCGTTTGATTCGGCCGCCACCAAAGCCTCACGTAGTTCTTTCTCTGATCCCAAACCTGTGACCTGCTCCGATCCCAAACATTATATTCTGCACTTTGGTCGTCCTGGTGCTGCTGCCGCTCCCAAGATGGCGATCGCAAAAAATAACCACGGTAGAGCTTCTGTGAAGATAAGTTAGTTCCCAAGAAAACAAGGACGCAGCTTGTAGCAAGAAGAATTATCGTTGCAAAGAACAAATGCCTGGCAGCCATAGAGGCCATGGATCTTGATAGCGAAGTTTTGGGCGATTGATCGCTGGTAGGAGGCTGTTCTAGAGTACGATCCGGTAGGGAGGGGATCGCGCTCTAGAGCCGCGATTGGTGTTCTTGGGGTTTTGGAGTGATTCGAAGCCGCATTGTGCCGACCGGCACGATATTTCGAGATGGATCGCGATACAGAATCTCCGTTTTTGTTTTCCAGGAAAAAGGCAAGCTCGTTTTGGAAACTCCACAAGTAAGTTTCGAACTCTTGCGTAGAATGTTTTTGCTTGTTTGCTTGCGAGTTTTGGCCAGAGTGTTGGCAAAGAGTCTTTTTAAACGTAGCTGATTTCTCTACTGGCCTCTCTTCCTCGTAGAATGGTTTCTAGCTTCCTGCCCATCCTTGCTGCCAGGCATTTGGTTCTTCCAGCGATGGCTACAAATCTTTGCATTTCTGCTCAACTCACAACGTAAAACCAAACTTACTCAGGATTAAAAAGTAAAGTTAGCCTTGAATCCAGAGTTACATCCTTGACCAGATAAATCTAAATCCTTCTCGGAGCGTAAACACTTCCACCGTGTCCTCTCTTCCCGCGCATAGCTACTGCTTGACTTTCCGGGTTCTCTCTCGTCGTGAAGGCGATTCCCACGCGATCGGAAGACGAATCCCCAAGACAGTTTGATCGTCCAGTCCCGATTGGGATCGTAGCAGAAGGATTTCTGGAGCAAGCCCATTGGATCCACCCCGTGCGCGCTCCCGATCAGATGCTTGATGCTCTCGATCCTCCCCATCCTTGGATCCAGGAGCGAGACGAGCGGTGTCGAGAAGAGCAAGCCAGAGGCGTCGTCCAGGACGTCAAACTGGTGGAATCCACGCTCCACCGTGAGCGGCACGCCCAATTCCACCACACAGGCATGTGTTGAGGTATACGCTCTCTATGACATGATCCTAAGTGGCAGGAGTGCCACTTCATTGATCTAGGTGTAGGCTAGAGGTGTGTCTCTTGATCATGTATATATATTTATGATATAATATACAATTATCCTTTGAGTCATCCACCATTGTAGCTTTTGCTCTTCTTCTATTCAGTGTGGATCTTAGTGTCCGCACTATACAATCCATGGTATCTCTCGAGGCAATCATCCAAGACCTTGTCAAGCTCCTCGGCAAGCGCGTAGCTAATCACGAAACCAGTGCCTCCATACACCATGTTTGTCAAGAATCCATCCACGTTTGGAAGTGGCTCTCGGATTATGCGGGTGTGGGATTGTCTCGCTACATGGATGTGGTGCCTTCCATTTGATGATGATCTTTCGTACGTGTATCGAAACTTGGAGGTGTCACTGGAAACATTGATCTCGGGTAGCGTGTCCTGGTCTGGTAGGAAATTCACTGCTTCTTCCAGCCAAACGAAGCCTCTCATTCGCTCCTCCAGCCTCCACCATGCTTGACAAGTTCTTTGCCCGAATCCCACATCGTGGCGTTGGAGCTGATCCAAACACAATGTTCGTGAGATTGGTATCTCCCACGTCTTGTTTGATCGTATGCGATCATGTTCTTGAGTTGAAATTCACGTAGTGTCTCACGGTGAGATGGACGGTCACAGCGTACAAAGAAGAACTCCATACGCTAGAACAAGGAGAACGATCATCCCAGAATATATCACCTCTTTCTTCTTCGCAATCGAAATACTATCACAATGAAAAGGTGGTGGCATTTTTATAGTTTGCTAAGATCCCAGGAAGTACCCATCTGTTTTTAGGGTTCTTTGCTTCCGTCGACGAAGAGGCCAAAGGAGAGGCCGACTTTCCAGTAATTGAGCATTTTCACCAGGAATCGCAACTTCTCCGTCACGGGCGGGATCTTATACATGAGAAATCCAATGCCTTCGATCACAGCCACGATGATCGCGCCCACCAGCACGTCCCAGTCCCCTGTTTGCCCCAGCACCGTGGCCAGGGCGTTGCCCGAGTAGAATCCCAGGAGCAGCAAGAACACTTTGAGCGGCAAATTGCGTCTGATCTCCCGGAATCGCTCCAGCAGATCGATCCTTTTCGCTTCCAGTAGCTGTCCAAGACGAGTGGAGATGGGATTATTGCCGCTCCCGCGTCTTCTCACTGGATCCTCGCTGAATCCGTTGCTGCTACTGGCGCCATCGGTTCGTAGGGTTCTCGTGACGATGCTGGATCGCTGGTGTGGACCAATGTAAAGCAGGATTGGGGAAGAACAGACAAATGCCGCCATGCGATCCCAAAACCCTAGCCAGGAAAGAACCCTACCGAAGAATGTGCCATGGCGCTTGTAACCGGCGCCATTCCGGTGGCGATCGCGAGCTCATCCTCGACATCTTTGGCTCCGATTTCTTGCAGCGCGCAGGCCGTACAGCAAAATGTGAGCTTCTGGAAGAATGCCACTGCCACTGCTGGCGAGGAGCAAATATTTTCAGGCCAGGGACCAGGTACGTCGCGGCAGTGGACGAAGAATCGGTGACAGAGATTTACAAGCGTCTCGAATCGAGGTTGATTCTGGTGGGGAGTTTAGCCGCATTCCAGGGCCTCCACTTTAGCCATATTGCAGTGTGCAAGATCTTGTAAAGAACGAAAAATCCAGACACTGCTCTCGCGTTCTTCCAGTGGCTGACCAAAGAAGCTTGTTACAATCCCAATACGGTGGCATACAATTACTTGCTCAATGCGCTCGTCAAGGCCAGGAGAATCCATCAAGTGAGAGAGATGCTGGATCGAAAAACTCTAGGGTAGTTCGTGCACAGCGAGTTCACATATGGAACTCTCGTCCACGGCCACAGCCTTGCCGGGGAGTTCGACGAGGCAAAGAGGCTTGTGGAGGAGTTTAAGGATACAGTGATGAGCCCCGGGAGCTTGCTCGTTCTCCACAGCCTCATGCTCAAAGGTTTCTCCGAGGCTGTGGACGAGGCCAAGAGCCATCTCCACTGGATGGATTGCAAGCCCAACAGCGTCTCCTACAACACGCTCATTGATGCGCTGTGTAGCTTCGGGAGGATCTAGGAGGCCCGTGAAGAGCTCCAGGCCATGGCCAAGCGAGGCGTGGGTGGCTTACAACGCGATGGCCACGGGCCTCAGCAAAGCTGGCCTCGACGAGGCTTTTGAGCTCATGGGAGTGATGGAAAGCGCTGGTTTTGCTCTGACGGCTGTGACTTTCAATCCGGTGGTGGAGTTTCTCTGCAAATCCGGGAGGCCGGACGAGGCATGCAAGGTGATGGAGACAATGCTTCTCAGGAACATCGAGCCCAACATTCTGACGCTCAACTTGATCCTCCACGCCTTCTGCAAGGCGGCACGGCCCGAGGAAGCGCTCGGCATGACGGACATAATGGTGGAGATGGGATTCTGCCCGACCATCGTCACCTTCAACGCGCTGCTGGAGCTGTTCTGCAACACCGATCAGATGGACAGCGCCGCCGAGCTCCTGGAAACGATGGCGCGCAGCAAGTGCAAGCCAAACTTCGTGACTTACAGCATCATGGTCCAAAAGTTTGCAGAGATGGGGAGAATGGTGGAAGCTCGAGCGTTCCTGGAGCAGCTGGTGGTGTGTGGCTATGCTCCCAATCTCCTGGTGTGCAATGGCTACGTCGCGGGGCTTTGCAAAACCGGAGAGATGGATCTAAACACCGCGACTTACAACAGCCTTGTGGAGGGTTTTTGCAAGCTCGGTAGCGGAGAGGGTCCTCGAGGAGATGATCGCTGAGGGAAGCCTTCTGGACTCGACCACTTACAGCGTTTTGATCCAGGGGCTTTGCAGCGCTGGACAGATCAAGCACGCCTTCATGGCGGGCGGTGGAATCAGTGAGGCTGGATCCAGCCACCTTTGTCAAGCTGATAGAGAAGCTGTGTGAATTGGGAGAGATGGTCAGGGCCACTAGAGAATGGGAGATGAGCACGAAGAGTTTCGTGTATGCTCACTGCCCAAGTAACTTGGAGGAGCATCACCATGAACGCTGTAAGAAACGAAAGGACTTAACCTTTGTTTAAAGGTTTATTGGCTAAGACAAAATGGATTAAGTAATTTATTAATTAAAAACAAATGAAATTTAATTAATTAGCAATTCTCATTGCTCATTTGTTACTGCCATGAGCACCATTATCAATGCACCACAATTAACCAAACTCACATGTCCTCCCTTCTTGGTTGGGCTAGGAGGAAGAACAATTTCGAAATTATATTGTTAACAATGCAAATGAAAAAAAGATTTTAAAGGAATTTTAAATTGTTGTTAGAACATTTATTTGACACTTCTAAATTTGGGAAGGTGGATCCTTGCCAGATCAACCACGAGCTCTCGAATAGCCATTGCTCTCACTCATTTGGACACCATAACCTTGTAAAAACATGTAAACTTGTATATAATCATTTATAATTAAATTTAATATTTATTACCTTATTGTTGTAATTAAAATGATAATTAAAACAATTATTGATAAATTATTTTCTTTATTTTATTTTTCAATTTAAAAGGTTTAAGTAAATTATAGTTAAATAAAACTTGAAAAATATTTAATACATAGATATTTATTTTAATGGTTTATCAGGAAGAGAATTTTTATATTTTTTATGAAAATTTTCAAAAATCGATAAAATACTTAGTCTTTTAGTTCTTTAATATTTATTTTAATTTATTATCATGTGCATTTTTTATTTTACTATATATTTAATAAATAAAATATTATATTAATACTAGTATTGGTACCTACAAAACTGAATTAAATTGCTAATAAGTCTTTGAGTTGCCATATTATTTTTAGCTAAATCATTTTGTCCCCTACTGTGATAAATTGGTAAATTTTAATTTTTTATTTTATTATATATATTTGTTAAGCTGCCCTTGATTTCAAATTCAAGCATAGGACTTGAAATAACAAGGTGATAAATTTTAAATAATAATAACTTATTAAATTAAGTAATTTTTAAAAATTAAAAATTCCTTAAAGTTATACTTATATAGAATTTGGAAAAATAAGCTAATTTTATTTTATTTCAGCACTTAAATTATTTTTATTTCAAAGTCCATAAGTTATTTTTAAAACACTCTAATATAAGTTATTAAAATCTCATAAAAACACTAATAATAATAAGTAACTTTTATAATGATTTATATAAATATTTTCTAAATTCATTCAATTATAAAAATTATGTATTTATTACAAATATTTTTGTCTTCACAGTTTAAATTTGAGGAATTATATTATTAAAGAGTTGTAAAATTTGAT